CCTGCAAGGACGAAAACTGCGCCGTGTGCAGCCCTTCACCAGACAAGTGCCAGAAGTGCATGAAGAGGCCTGCCTGGGCTGAGTACGCCGAAAGCGACTACGGGCCTGTGTACATGGACAGGGAGGGCAACTGCCGCGAGGTGCGGCGTTAATAGAGGAGCAGAGGGCCAGCACCGGGATGCAAATCGGCGCTGGCAATGCTGCCAGTGCATGTGCGCCACCCACCCGTGGCTCCCGCCCCCTCTTCCTCCTCCCGCAGTGCACGCACATGGTTGGCTATGGCTGCAAGGCCTGTGATCAGGACGGCAAGTGCAAGCATTGTGATCCCGACACTGGCAGGGTCCTGCGTAATGGCGCCTGCGTGCCGGTGAGCCAGTTGACAACCCTCGACTAACCGTCATAACATACATGCTGATGCTAGGCGTTTGTGTCCCGTGCGCTTGCTCCCATGCAGTGTGACGGCCTGGTGGAGCACTGCTATGAATGCACCGCCAAGGGCAAGTGCACTGCCTGCGAAGATGGCTTCCATCTGCGTGGCGGCAAGTGTGTTCCCTGCGACCGCGTCGACCCGTTCTGCGAGTATTGGGAGTCGACACCAGTCTGCAGCAAGCGCTGCGCCAGTTGCATTTCATGGCCATTGGTCCCATTGGTCTCATGGGGCCCAACATAACCGCCACCCACCTCGACTGGAATGGCCGCTGCCGGCAGGTGACACCAATGCCAACGGTGACTGGGGCCGGCCTGCCTGCCTGCTTGACATGCCTGGCCGAAGCCCACCCCGCACACCTCTGCCGGCTGCCGCTCCACCCGCCCACCCACACATGCCCGTGCGCACCCACTCCCTGGCCTCGCTGCAGTGTATACCCAACTGCCTCAAGTGCAGCCGAGATGGCCGCTGCCGCACATGTGCTTCCGGCTTCCGGCTGGTGGGCTCCAAGTGTGTTGAGTGCCGCGACTACAGCTCCTGTGTGCCGTGCACGGAAGGCGGCGAGCCGTTTGGAGGCTGCAGCAAGTGCACCCCCGATGGCAAGCGCTGCTTGGCCTGTTGGGACCAGTACAAAGGCGTCCAAAACAGTGCTTCAAGGTGAGGATAATCGCCGCTGCCTGCACTACACCCTGGTCTTGGCAGCTGGCCGCCCCTCTTGGCCGGCGTGTCATGGCTCCCTGAGCCTACCTGCCGCCATAGCTTGCCTGCAACCCTACCGTGTTGCAGTGCCTAGTGCCGCTCTGCGACTCATGCTTGACCCCCACCAAGTGCGCTGCCTGCGCCTCATACACCTACTTTGGAAATGGGGAGGTAGACACCGGTGTGTACAAGGACGCCAAGACGGGCCAGTGCCGGCAGTGCCAGCGCGGCTGCAGCGAGTGCAACGCCCGCCGCTGCTTATGGGCGAGCGAGGGCTTGTGCTTGTTGGGGGGCAGCCAAAGAGGTGAAGGGCTGCCAGGATGCTTCGCGGGTCGATGTGTCAAGGTTGCACAGATCAGTGCCTGTTGAAGGGTGCCCGTTGGCGGCAGCTGTTGGGTCACGCCCTGCATTGAGCCGGCTGTTGTGCTTCTTTCTTGCAGGTGCGCCGACCCGCTCTGCGTAGAGTGTGACGCCGCCACCCAGAAGAAGTGCTCGAGCTGCCGCGAGTTCAGCCCGACGCCGCCCTACGTAGGTGTATACATGGACGCCCGCGGCAAGTGCCACGAGTGCACGGTGAAGGGGTGCGAGCTGTGTGGCATCGATGGGCGCTGCCGGAGGTGCGAGTACGGCTACTCAAAGGTGAAGCCGGAGGGCAAGTGCATGGTGGTGTGATGCGGCGGCGGCAGAGCAGGAAGCGATGTAGAAGCGAGATGAATGTTAAGACGCAATTGATGTTGAGGTCAATGCCACTATGTAGCTGCCTTCCTTGTTGTTGTTAGCGCTGCACCGTCACCCTGCACTTTTGAACTGTGGCCAGCCTCCTGCATGGTCATTCCAATGATACAGGCATAGCAGAATTGCACCGCTCATTATGACAGGTGGCACCAATCAGCTGCTGGAGCCAGCTGCACTGTGTGCTGCGCCGCCCTCGACACCCGAACCTGCTGGACAGAGTGCTGCGCCTTGGCTAGACAATGTCCAGCCACATTATGACGTTGTTGCACGAGCTGCGCCAGGCCACTCCTGCAAATCCAATCTTACCTGCATATGCTGCGCCTCCAGCTGCTGGCCGCCAGGGTGGCCCCGTGGCATCGCCCGGCACACCTGCCCAGGAATCCTACTGGCTCTTGCTTCTTGCTGCCGCATAAGAGGCCTTGCTCAGGCATAATTGCAGACGAGGGAAAGGTCATAGCATCAATGCTCAGCCCTGCGCCTGGGCTTCCTCCCGCCGCCCGCCGCGGCTGCCGCCCGCCCGTAGCTCCTCCTCCCACTCCAGCAAGTTGCCTGCCGCCAGGCGCACCAGCGCCGCCTCTGCGTCTGCATCGCACGCCGCCTCCCACAGCGCGTCGGCGATGGGCCCAAAGGCCGCCTCGTTCTCGCACCGCAGCAGGCGCTCCAGCGGCGCCAGCCCCTCCACCGTCTCCCCCAGCTCGCCGCAGGCGATGCTGTCCCAGCGCGTGCTCAGCAGCGGCTGCTGCAGCGAGGCAGCGCCATACACGGCCTCTGGCATGGGGCTGCAGGATGGGAGGCGGGGCAGGGGGCGGCAGGGACCGAGTTGTTTGCGCTGGCCGCTCAGCCAAACAGGAGGTTTTGCACTCAGCAGCTGGGGCACGCAACAGCTGCAGCTGCATGCCCACCGGTAGCGGGCAAAGAAGTTGAAATGCCAGGGGAGGAAGTAGAAGGCGGCGCGCTTGCCACGCGCGTCATCCCGAAAGTGCTCCTTCATGTACGCCACCAGCTGGCGGTAGATGCCCACCCGCTCAGATGCGGTGGGGCACAGCTCCCGCCCCTCCTTGACCTCCTGGAACAGCCAGGGCTTGATCAGCGCACCCCTGCAGGCGCGGCAGGCAGGCCTGATGTCTCTGCGAGGCGTCGCGGGGACCGGCAGCCTTGCTCAGCCATGCCAGCAAGGCAGCGGCGCCCCAGCCCGCCCTCACCTGCCCACCATCACAGTCAGCAGGCCGTGGCTGTCCAGGCGCCGCCGCACCTCGTAGTGCGTCAGCACGTCGCCGTTGCCTACGAGCGGCACGCTGTGCTGTGCGGCCACCTGCTGCACCAGCTCCCAGTCGGCTGCCTTTTTGTACCGCTGCTCCATGGTCCTGCTCACCAGGCGCAGGTTGAGCAGGCCGGCCAGGGTGAGGAGGGCAGCCAGGGCGGCAGCGCCACATCAGGCAGGCGCTCGGGCCACAGGAACGGCAGGTGGCACCCTCAGGCGCACAGGCAGGCATGCCATCGATGCGAAGCGCTCATAAAAAACACAATCCGACGCGCCGCACCTGCCGTGCACCGTCACCGCCGCGGCGCCCGCCTGCTCCAGCAGCCCCACCATCTCGTGCACGTTGATCTTGTCGGCGCTCTCCCCCAGCCGGATCTTGACGGTGAGGGGCAGGGGCAGGCGCGCCGCGATGCCGTTGACCAGACGTGCCAGCTTGTGGGGCTTGCGCAGCAGCGCGGCGCCCAGCCCGCGCCGCGTGGCCTCGTAGATGGGACACCCGCAGTTGAGGTCCAGAAAGTCGGCGCCTGCCTCTGCCACCAGCACGCCCGCCCGGACGCCCTCGTCGATGACGTTGGTCGCGATCTGCACTCCATAGCACTGCTCGTTGCCTGCCCGCCGCAGGATGGCAAGCTCCTTGCGGTTGCCCTTGAGCAGCTGGCGAGCAAAGGCCATCTCCGAGTAGGTCACCTTGGCCCCGTGAGCTGCGCACAGCCGGCGGAACGGCAGGCAGCCTCCCCGCGTCAGCGGCGCGAGCATCAGCTGGCCCCGGAGCCGCTCAACCAAGGCCGCATTCCGTGCCAGCTGCGCCGCCGGCAGCGGCTCCAGTTGCGGCGGCGGCTTTGCGGCCTGCTCAGCTGCAGCGGGGGCGTCTGGCGCCGCTGCTGCTGCAGGTGCTGCCGCCAAGGAACTGCGTGCAGCATGCTGGCTGTGCCTGAGAGCTGCTGCTCCAGCCCGTTGCCTCCACATCACTGCAGGCAAACAGGCAACGAAGAGCCTATACGGCGGCGGTGAGGCGGGCGGCGTGGTGCAGGGCGAGAATTGGATTCAACCTCCGCATGCATTTGACATCTCGGTACCTCGACCGCTAGCCAAGCAGCTCCTCTGCATTGCCTGCAGTCCATCGGGGCTCATTCGAGTTGGGAGCAACATCCTGCTGCACGGCGGTGCTTGTTTGCCGCAGCACGAAGGCAATCTTACGCAGCTAATGTTGCACCAATGCATGCAATCTTTTTAAAGCAGGGAGGGGGCAGCAGGGCAGTACAGCAAGGTGTATGCTCTACACTGATACACCGGCGTCGGCCAAGACCTTCTTGAGTCCATCCAACTCTGTGTCTGCCAATTCAAGTCAAAATGATCATTTCACAGCCCCCTGCGACAACACCTGCTGCTTCTGTGCTGCATCGCCGGCGTTGTGGGGCGGTGCAGCGTCGGGGCAAGGATCAGCGCCGTGAGCAGCGTCAGCGTCAACCGCCGCCTGCCGCCTCCACCTGCCGGGCGGCGGCCGGCGGCCGGGCGCGGCCCCCGTGTGCCACGATCCAAACTGGCGGTGACGGCAGCGACTCTCAAACCTCAGCGCCACTAGTAGCATCCAGCCAGCCTCATGTGCCGGCACAGGAGCAGCCAGTGACGCCAACCCCTCTGCCGGCGCAGCCGCAGCGTGCACCGCAGCTGTGGCGCACGATGCTACAGACCTGCGTGTCGCTGGTGCATCGCAACCTGTGGCCGCTGCTGACAGCGCATGCGATAGCAGACGCAGCCGTGTTCCTGCTGCACCGCATCTCCCATCGCGCCACCAATGAAGGTGCGCAATTGGTTGGGGCGCCAGCCCGGCAGCCGGAGAGGGGCAGCCGGAGAGGGGCAAGTCCTGGCACTGACAGATAGCGCTTGCTGTGCCTCGGTTTTCATGGTATTGCAGCTGCGGTGGCGTTCCTGCTAGGAGGCGCGCTGTCGCCCGCCGCCATAGGCAACATGTGGTGGCTGTCGGTGGACCCGCAGCTGGCCAACTTCCAGACCGGCTACCAGCCGCTCACCTTTGTCTTCTTCCTGCTCACATTCCCCGTCGTCGTGGGCGTGAAGAGCTGGGCGGCGCTGGCCACCATCCTCTTCTGCCAGCAAGCAGGTGGGACAAAACATGTGACGACGACACATTGTATGTGGGGCAGTGCAGGGGGCAAACTCTCAAGGCACGCTCCTCCCTCTGATTTGCAGGCAAGGGAGAGCAGGAGGACGGGGCGTCTGTGCCCCTGTGGCAGCCGCTGCGGGGCATCAGGCATGGGCTCAAGTCGCTGGCATCCATGCGACAGCAGGCACGCTCCCGCAGCTCTCTCCTGTTCTTGGGCAGATCACCCAGCCTAAGTGGCCCCCACTGCCCCACCGGCCCCTGCAGATTGGCTCCCTGTGGGGCCGCATGTTCCTTGTGGAGCTGCTGGTGGCATCGGCGGTGGTGCCTCTGACCTTTGCCAGCCTGGCTGTCGTCACCATCCCCCTCACGCTGCCCCTCATCCTCGACCTGCAAGGCGCCGGCCCTGCCGCAGCTGTGGAGGGTGAGTGGGCAGTAGTCAAGTTGGACTTGCGACAGGAAGGTGGCAGTCTGCTCATACCGCTGGCTGTGCTCTCCGCTGTCCGTGCAGGTGTCTCTGGCATGGCGGCGGTCGATCGCAGCCGGGCATTGCTGCGCAGCATACGCTGGCAGCTGGCCATCCCTTTTGTCGGCCTGGTGGCGGCACGGCGGCTGCTGGAAGCGGCCAAGTCGACGCTGGTGAATGCCATGCCGCCACGGTGAGTGAAGGGAGGAGCTGGTTGACCTCGGTGCAGAGCGTGTCTTGTGTCCAGCACATATGGACACGATTCTGTGGGTACCTTGTGCCCCTGATGCAGGTTCTACCAGGAGCTGATTGAGATCCCTCTGGTGGTGCTTGTCGGCGGCACTGTGCTCTCGCTGCTGGTCGCCAGGTAAAGCTACCTTGATGCAAACCGCAGGGTTGGCCACTCTGCGTGCCTCGAAGTTGTCTCGCATGTTGCCCTCTCCGCAGGCTGCAAGATGTGCTGCCGTTTGTGGCATACACCGAAGCAGCAAGCCTGGAGACGTGCAGCACTGCGGCAGTAGATGCGGCCCAGGATGGCAGCGGTGCGCCAGCTGACGAAGCCAGTCCCGCATAATGCACTGATGGGGCTGGCTATCAAGCCAGCACCTGAGGCTAGCTTGTTGTTTTGCACGAGTGCGAGTGATGTGGCTGAGAAAAAGCGGGCGCAATGGAGCAGCAGAGATGGGGCAGGAGGCAATGGAGGCACACACGAATGGGGCGGCATGGCAAATGAGAGCATGTGAGCAGCACCTCGGTGCAAGGTGTCAAATTCACTTCTTGAAGAAGCGATGCAGCGCCCGCGGCACGTCTGCCGGCACCCCTGGCTCTGCCCGCGGCTGCTTGTGCCCAAACTCGGCGCTGACGCCCTGCTCCCGCATGCGCGCCTTGATCCCCGGCTTGCGCTCTTCGACGATGTTGGCCTGCTTCTTGCGCTGCCGCCGCGACGGCTTGTTCTTGCCCTGCGGCAAGAGGAGGTGGCGGAGGGCGACAGCAGCAGCGGAACAAACCGGTCGTCAGGAGGTGTGTGAGGAGGTGGGCAGGGGCCGGCATACCGTTGACCGCAGCCTGCCCTGGGCTGCAACAGGCCCAACCACCCCCACCTTCATCCGCTTCTTCTCCTCGTTCTTCTGCCGCTGCTCCTCCAGCCGGGCGCGGTTGGCCTCCTGCGCTGCCGCCTGCTTTTCCTTCTGCACGTCCCGCGGCTCACGCACAACCCGCGTGATCTCCCCGGGGTCGAGCACAATCATGGCCGGCTGCGCAAGGGGGCGGGGCCAGGAGTGGCACCAGGGTCAGGGTGGGGCGAGGGGGGAGTGATTTCAACAGTGCATCGAGGCTTCAGGCAACGCAGGCAACAACGCCGCCAACAGCAGGGGGCATGGCACCGGCAGCACCTCCCAAACTGCAACCAGGGAGCCTCCAGCAGTACTCGTTTTCCCCCCAGGCCCTGCCGCCAAGCGCCCTCACCTGCAGCTTGTCCAGCAGGCTGTGCACCTCCGCCTCGCGCCGCTGCTTGCTGGTCTGGAAAGGGTTTGCCACAAACGAGTCGTAGTTGGGCTCGCCCGCGCCGGGGACCAGCATGGTGGACACGCCGCCGCTGTGGCCGATGCCCAGCACATCCTGCAGGGGGTACCGGGGCCAAGGGTGCGGGGATTGCGGAGGGCAGCGGCCAGAGTGTAGGGGAGTTAGGGAGGGCAGAGGCAAGCAGCGCAGGAATGAGGATGGGAGCTTGCAGGCTGGGCTGCTGCAAGGCGCAGAAGAGCGGCGACACGAACAAAGCCAAAAGCATGGCAGGCGGGCTGCCAGGCGGGCGCACCTCGTAGGGGCAGAAGCGCAAGTCCCGCAGCGTGCCGCCCGCCAGCGTGTGCGTCATGTAGGGGCTCTGCGCCTTGCTGCCCAGCGCGTCCCGCCACACCTGCACCCTGCGGCCGTACCCCACCGCCAGCAGGCCTCGCTGGCTGATGTCGCAGCACTCGGCGGGGGAGGGGGAGAAGTAGGCGTGCAGCGGGCGCAGCATGCGCAGGTCCCACACCTTGACCTGCAGGTGTGTGTGTGGGGGGGTGGAGGTGGGTGGAGGGAGGGAGGCAGCAAGAGGGCTGGGTGGGTGTGGGAGCGACAGGAACAGGGCCACCGCTTCTGGTGGCGCAACTGCCAGCAGCAGCAACATCGACGACCGCAGCAGCAGGAGCAGCTGGCGTGCGCTTGCCTGGCCGTCGGCGCCGGTGGTGGCCAGGTGGCGCCCCTGGGTGTCTGCCGCCAGCGAGCGCACGGGGCCGTGGTGGCACAGCATGCGCACCACGGGCGTGGTGATGTTGGGCGTCCACATCGTCACCGTGCCGTTGCCGTGGCCCAGGCACAGCACGCCGTTCCACGGGTTCTGGCGCAGCACGTCGCAGGCGCCCTGCCGGGTGCGGTGCGTGGCCACAACCTGGCCAGTGGATGTGTCTTGGTACCGCAGCACGCCGGTGGCGCCCACCGAGCAGAGCAGGAAGTGATGGGGCAAGAACTCCAGCCGCGTCGCCTCGGTCGTGTCCTGCAGGGGCAGGTTAGGGCAGGGGAGGGGCCAGGAACAGGGTGGATTTCCCTGCATTCAGCTACAATGAAGCCAGGCTCCAACTGCCGACGACGCTTGCCATGCTTGCGCAACCCTCCACACCCACGCGAACACCGCACTCTCATGCAATGCTCCGCGCGCCTCCAGCCTGCCACCACCCTAGGGGGCGCACCTTGAGGCAGTGCACCTCCAGCCCCCGCTTGTCGTAGATGTACACATACTTCTTCTGGGCTGCAGCGAAGAACTGCTCGTTGTGCAGGAACTTGATGTCGTGCGTGGTCTCCTTGACCTGCGGAAGTCGGCATGGCGAGGCGAGGCAGGCGTGGGCGGCAGGGTAGCAACCGCCAATAACAGCAGGTGGCGGCAGGGAGGGCAGCCAGCCAGGGAAGCGACACACATCGCTTAGTGTGCTATGCAGCTGGGTGCCTCCCCAGCTGCCCCCCCTGGCACCACCCCACCTGCACTTCGCAGATGAGCCGCGTGCGCTGCCAGTCCATGAGCGCCAGGTGGCCCTTGCGCCCCGCCAGCAGCATGTGGCGCCCGCTGCGGGAGAAGTCGAGCGAGTAGGGCCCCAGCTGGTCCAGCTGCAGGTCAAACACCTTGCGCCCCGCACCCGCATCCACAGCCTGCAGGGCAGCAGCAGGAGCGGAGAGAGGCGTGGCGCATGAAGACTCGCACAGACGAGCAAAATGTCCCAGGCGCCAGCGGCTGACGAGAGAAGCAAAGAGCAGCGGCGTGGCTGCCGGCGGCCTGGTCATCCATCCTCCACCACGTCACACCCACCTCCACAATATCCTGCTGGCTGAAGCGCCAGGTGCGCTCCATGCCCTCCGCCTCCAGCTCGCCCGCATCGCTGGGCAGCAGCCACTCGTCCACCTTGGCCGCCGCCGCCTGCGCATCGCTCACCACCTTCTCGCTGTACCGCAGGCGCCCCTTGAGCTTCTTGTCCTCTATCTGCAGGGCGGGTGGGAGTGGGTGGCAGGCAGGAGGAGGGCTGAGGGAGTTGCTCGCTGCCGGCCGGGTGCACGGCAAGTCGAGAGGCGGGTGGGTGGCGGCGAAATGTGCAGGGCTCCAGGCTGGGCTGCTGGCTGCGCTCAGTGTCTCTGCTGCATCTGCTCACCCTGCGGGTGGCCACCTCGGGCCCACGGCTGAACTTGGCCGCCCCAGTCACGTCCCCATTGCTGCTCTTGTGCCGCTTGCGGGCTGGAGGGCCTACAGCACCATCCATGGCGGTTGGCGCGACTGCTCAAAGGAGGCTAGCGGGTTTTGGGTGCCCTGCAGACTGCGTCAATGTGCAATGTCACTGCATGTATGATGTCACTGTTGCCATTAACTACTCACGACTCACAGAATTGGTTGGTGCGTTGTGCTTGCGTTCTCACAGCCTCAGCATCGGCACCGAGGTACAGGTGGGCACTACCAGCCCCTCCCAGGGCCGCCACAATTGGATCAGGTGCTTTGCCCACGCCACTAGTAGGGCTGGGTGCTGCTAGAACCAGCCCGGACCTCCGTTTCAGCCGCCTCCGAATGGCCACTCTCCGATTCTCTCGTGCACACAGCAGGCTGGACGTCAGGTGCCTGCACACGCATTCCGGCATGACAGCGCCCGGAAAGGCGGCTGCTTTGCGGCCCCCGCACCCGCAGAAGGGCGGCGGGAGTGGCGCCGCCACCGGCAGCGTGCTGGGCCACGTCTCGTCAGCGGGCCTGCACGCCACCCACACCCTGCACGGCACCACCATGCACCGCCGGGCCAGCAGCACGCAGCTGCCGGCCGCTGTCGAGGACGGTAAGCTTGCCACACCCCCCGCCGCAGCTCGTTGTGCCGCCCTGCTGCCTCTGCCCGGCCTCATCCTCCTCTGTCGCTCCCGCCTGCAGAAGTCAAGGTGCTGGAGGAGTGGGGCAAGAAGGAGGCCGTGCGGTGCGATGAGGGGGACCCCGACCTGGAGTTTTGCGAGCTGCCGGGCATCATCAACACGCCGCCGGCAGAGCGCAGCGTGGCGGCCGAGGCGTGGAGCCGCGGGCGGTGGCTGCTGGGCCTGCTGGTGCTGCAGTCGATGTCCTCCTTCGTGCTGGACAGCTACCAGGACCTGCTGAAGGAGCACCTGGTGGTCACCCTGTTCCTCACCATGCTGGTGGGTGCGGGGGGCAACGCGGGCAACCAGTCTGCCATCAAGATCATCCGCGGCCTGGCCACCGGCAGCCTGAAGCCCACAGCAGCGGGCATCCGCCGCGCAATGCAGCAGCAGCTGGCGGTGGGGCTCATGCTGGGGCTGGGCCTGGCGGCGGGCGGCTGGGTGCGCGTCTACATCACCAATGGCGACCCGCTCAACGCAACCGCCATCTCCATCTCGCTCTTCCTCATTGTGCTGTGCTCCGTACTGGCGGGCACTGGTGAGCACGACCAGATTGCACCATGGCGGCTGGCAGGCTGCACGGCTCATTGTCAGGCGTAACCACCCTTTCCCAGCGATTCACCAGCAGTGTGCATAACAAATTGCAGGGCTGCCCTTTGCGCTGGCACGGGCGGGCGTGGATCCGGCCAATGCGGGGACAAGCATACAGGTGTGCCTGCTGGGCTTGAAGTTTGGTGGATGCTTGATGCTGATGTGGGGAGGCCACCCTGCTCTCGCTGCACGCCCCATGTGACCAAACCAATCCATCTCAGCTTCATGTTCATTACCTCTCTTCCTTCATGACCAAAAAAAAAAACTACCCTGCAACTGCTGCCTGCAGGTTGTGATGGATGTTTCCGGGGTCTTCATCACCTGTGCGGTGTGCCACGTTGTGCTGGACCAGCTGGCACAGGGCCTCAAGGTGGTGTCTTGAGGCGGCAGCGCCGCTGACGCGGGGCCAGCCCGGACCAGCAAGCCAGTCACCCACCCAATACCTTGCTGCGCCTTTTCGCAGCCTGTACCTGCAGCCCCTGTAAAAACGCACAAATTTTCAATGCGCGCCTGTTGCATGTGCGAACATGTGCGCAGTTGATTACTTACTGTTTCCTCCCCCTTTCTGCGCCATATCACACACTTCTGTTCCCCGCTTTGCTGCTCCCTGCAACCCCAAATCCCTTTGCTCTCAAGTCGATGTTTGTCCAGCTCCGCCCCTGCTCTCTCTGTAAACCAGCATTAAACAAATCAGCCTCCTGTTACATCATTCGGTGCGGTCAACAGCACCAGCACCGTGCAACAGTCGATCCCAGCGCGCGGTCAACCACGCTGCGCTGTGCTAAATGCGAAGGGAAGCTGCTGCCTCCAGAGCTGCGCTGCCCCTTCTGGCAGCTCAGGCCTGCCGCTTAACCCTGCACCAGGGCGGAGGCGGTGGCGGACTCGTACCTGCAGGTGGGGGAGGGGCAGGTGGCAGGGGTCAGGCAGGCTGCTGGGGCGCGATATGCGGTGCATCATGCAGGGCACATCCAAAGCAACAACGCTGAACCGGCGGGAAATGCTCCACTCACTTCCAGTTGGGGGGCAGCCTCTTGGTCTTCTTGTAGTACCTGGCCAGGCGGTGGATGCGCGACTCCACCAGGATGAGGTGGAACTTGCCGTCCTTGTCCTTGCGGTTGGCCTCCAAGTGCTTGCGCATGGACACAGCCTTCTTGATCATGTGGTACAGATCCTCGGGCAGCTCGGGGGCCAGGCCTGCGCCAGGGGCGGGAGAGGCCGGGGGCCGGGGGCGGCGTGCCGGGGCGACGTCGGTCTTGGGCGCGAGACACCAGCAAGATGCGCCAGCCGCACGCGGCCCCGCACAGAGGCGGGGCGCGGCTACCGGAACGCATTCGCATACGGTGCGCTCGAGCAAAGTGGGCCAGCCCCCCGCGAACGGGGGACCGAGCGCCACTTGCTGTCGGGGCGGGAGGCAGGGTACTGGCGCCGGTCGGGTGGGAGAGGCACGAGGCCGTCGCCGCCGCCGGGCTCTCCCCATGCTCGCGGCGAGCATGAGCGTGCATGCGCGGCCCGCGAGGGCCGATGCAGCAGCAGCAGCTCCCGGTTGATGACGGCAGGCAGCAGCTCTCGCGGTGGAGCCGTGAGCAGGCAGCGCCTGCCGGTCAAGCCGGCGCCCAGGCACAGACAGGCAGAGGCAGGCAGCGCCGACACGAGCGGCAGGACACACGCAGCACGTCACAGCCAACTATCCCGCTGCCGCTGGATTCCTCGGCTGCGCCTGCTGCAGCTGCTCCAGCCCAGCCGGCCAGCGCGGTGTTCTTTCCAGCAGCGCCCGGGTGCTCACCCTGGCCCTTGAGGATGCGCAGGATCTTGGAGCCCGTCACGCTCTTGACCTGGGCAATGCCGTGGCTGTCGCGCAGCAGCACGCCGATCTGGGAGGGGGTCATGCCCTTCTTGGCCATCTTGGCAATGGTGTCACCCACCTGCAGGTGCGGAAGGAGGGCCTCACATGAGCAGCGGCCAAGCAGCAGGGCTCAGCAACAGAGGCAGGCTTGTTCCTTGTGGTGCAGCGGCGCTAGTGAGTGCCGCCACCGCCAGCCCCGCCGCGCCGCACCTCGGCGGTGGTGATCTTCAGCCAAGAGGGCGAGGTGCGCTTGTAGGGCAGAGCCGAGCGGCTCTTGCCCTTGCCATTGCTGTGCATGCGACCCATGGTGGCCGGCTTTTGTTGCCCCCACGCCGAGCTACAACCTGCGGCAGGCACGGCCAGAAGCTGATGAGTGCGCTGCACGCTGCACAGGGCTGCAGCGGCCGTGATGGCGGGACGCACACCAGCCCCCCCAAGCCATTCCAGGCTCTCCCAAGCCTTGCAGGCCAGCCAGTACCCCACCTGCTCAACGATTAAAGAGGCCGGGATAGGCGGGAGCCTGGAATTTGGGCTGCAGGCGCGCGCCACGGGGTCGGGCCCATGCAGCTCCAAAGTTGAAGAGCCCTGCAGTTCAGCTACTCTCCCTGGTTTCGTCCAGTTCTCCGCAGCAGTAGCTCACGACGCTGCCGCTCATCTGTAGAGAGCAGTCTCCTGGTGCAGCGCCCCTCGGCACCCTCGATCGCCTATGGTTGACGACAGAGACTTGGGCCGGTTCGGGGTGAGTTGCAACAGCACCAGGAGAAAAGCGTCTGGAGCGCTCCAGCGATCACGGCCCCGCCTGCAGGCAGCCTGCATGGCAGCTGGGGCGCTTGTTCGGCAGCTCAAGGGGTAGCGTGGCGTAGGGCCCAAGGGGCGGGGCAACGGGAGCCCCTGGCTTGCCGCAGCCACGCCGCCGCCGTCGCTGCCTGCCCCCGTCGCTCACTGCTCTGCTGCCGCTGTCCCGCCGCTCAGAACGTCCTGGGCCTTATCATTGCCGTCCTACTGATTGCGTATCACTACGTGACGGCCGAGCCCCGGCGTCAGGACTAGGCGCTGCGCCCGAGACAAGTCTATCTACTCGCGTAGAGCGAGCCAGCCATGTCGACATTTGTGGGCGGCAAGCTGAAGCTCAAGGGCGGCGTGGATGTGTCGCAGCTCAAGGGCGGCGTCAAGAAGAAGAAGAAGAAGTCGGCGGCGGCGGCGGATGCACAGGCGATAGTGCCCGCCGATGGCGACCAGCAGGCGCAGCAGGATGCGGCCACAGCGGGCGGCGAGGGTGGCGACCAGCAGCAACACCAGGTGAGCTGGGGGGACAGGAGCCGTTTCCTCTAGCTTCCAGGGCACAGATTCCAGGGCACAGAAAGAGCAGCATGCACTGGCATGGCTCTCTCTCCACAACATGAGGCTCTCTCTCCACAGCATTGCACTGCCATGCTGTCTTAGCTGCTGCTGCTGCTGCCCAAATTGCTCTGCTGCTCACCCTTCCTCCCACGCCATGCCCGCGCTCGTGCCAGGGCAAGGTGACCAAGGACGGCGTGGTGCTGGACCCGTCTGCGGTGGTGGACCGCCGCACCGAGGCGGAGAAGAAGGCGGAGGCGCACTACCTCAAGTACGAGGAGCAGCGCGCCAAGAAGGCGGCCTCCAAGAGCCACCGAGAGCGCATCAAGGACCTGAACGAGAAGCTGGCCAACCTGACAGAGGTGGGCTGCGATGGAGGCAGCTGCTTGCGGAAAGCGGCAGCAGGCAACCGGGGTGGCGTCTTGCGAGCTGGGCCTGCTGGCGGCGCTGTGTTGTGCACCGATGCTGGTGTTGACTGGCCCTCGTGCTGTTTTGTCCCTTTCATGTGTGCAGCACAATGACGTGAGTGATCGGCAAGCTAGGAGTGTTGTGTTTCTCCAGTGCATTGGACTTGTTTGGCAACTTGTTTTGCAGCTTGTCAAGGGGCTAAGGACACGGGCAGGCACCGAGCGCCTGTTGCTGCTTTTGTCTGTATTCTGCAGATATTCAGGATCAGTTACACGGCTTGACATGCCCATTGCCTGGAGCCACACAGCATCATGTTGGAAACGAGCTGCGAGCCAGCACGATGGCCCTTGCGCTGTATTTTTATGGGTCCCAACACCTGTCGTGCCAGGCAGCGTGGCGTCACCCCCTGCCCCCAGCTGTCAATGCAGCCAGCTTTCCCTGCCTTTCTTCCATTTTGCTGCCCATGCTTGGCGCGACATTTCTCTTGTTTAACAACAAAGTAGCAGCGTGCAACTCAAAACTGGCAGTACACAGTGGAAGGAGAGAAGGGGACAGTGTTGGGCAGGTGCATCAACGGCGCAGCCCAGCAACAGTGGTCGGGACCAGCAGAGCGGAAGAAATTCCTTCACAGGCGGCACGCCGTGTGCCGGGGAAGGCGGGCCATTCATCTACCTCCCGCCGCCCCAGCATGCGGCGCCGCCCACTCTTACAGTGCGGGTTGGCGTGCAGCAGCTGGATCACTTGGGCGCAATCATGTCCTCGGGGCGCACCCAGGCATCAAACTCCGCATCGGTGCAGTGGCCCAGCGCCAGCGCCGCCTGCTTCAGGGTGCTGCCCTGCATGGCGGGCACGCGAGGAGACGCAGCGCACGTCAGCAGGTGCATGGGGCAGGCAGGGGCACGGCTGCGTTCTCGGGAGAGCAACCCAGCAGGCAGGCAGGCCTGCCGAATCTTCAGGCTGGCGCACTGAGTCAGCAGGCAGGCGCACGCAGGCGCCCCACCTCCTTGTGCGCCTTCTTGGCGATGGCGGCGGCCTTGTCGTAGCCGATCTTGTTGTTCAGGGCGGTGACCAGCATGAGCGACTCGTGCAGCAGCTGTGCGATGCGGCCCTCGTTGGCAACAATGCCCGACACGCAGTTGTCTGCAGGGGACCGGGGGAACGGGGCGCAGGGCAGGGTGGGCGGCGGTTGTGGTGCCCAGGTTCAGGCAGCGCCGCTGCCTGGACCTGAGCTTCCCAGCGCCAGTGGCAGCCGCCTGGGCGACCCCAGCCACTGCCACAGCCGCGTCAGCATCCACCGGCTGCTTTGCCGCAGCTCGCCCGCCCACCGGTGAAGGACACGGCGGCGTCTCCCAGCAGGCGCGTGGAGTGCAGCAGGTTGCGGATGAGCATGGGCTTGAACACGTTGAGCTCAAAGTGTCCGCTGCAGCCGCCCACGGTCACGGCCACGTGGTTGCCCATCACCTGGCAGTGGGAACGAGGGGGGGGCAGGGGCGCAGGCAGCTCAGCAGGCACTGGGTGCAAGTTTGGGTGGGGGCGTGCCTGCGGGTCGCGGCTCTGGCCCCTCCCCACCGCCGCCGCCCACCTGTGCGCAGACCATGGTCAGCGCCTCGCACTGCGTGGGGTTGACCTTGCCGGGCATGATGCTGCTGCCGGGCTCGTTCTCCGGCAGCTGCAGCTCGCCCAGGCCGCAGCGCGGGCCCGACCCCAGGAAGCGGATGTCGTTGGCCACCTTCATTAGGCTGACCGCAATCTGCAGGGGAGGCCCAGGAGGCGGCCGGGTGGAGTTGAGCCGCGGCATGCGCGCGCCAGGAAGCAGGCCAGGCCAGCAGCAGCACGATGGGTGCGCAGGCAGTGGCCAGCGGCAGCAGTTGACCAGGCAGGAGGTGGCTGGGCGGCAGGGGAAGCGGCGTGCACCGTGTTGAGCGCGCCGCTCATCTCCACCACCGCATCGTGCGCCGCCAGCGCCTCAAACTTGTTGGGCGCGGTCACAAAGGGGTACCCCGTGTCCTCGGCCACGGTGGCCGCCACCTTCTCCGCAAAACCAATCTTGGCGTTGAGGCCGGTGCCCACGGCTGCGGGGCAGGAGCAAGGGAGGGCCGTCAGAGGCAAGCAGCAGCAGGTGTGATGCATGGTTTTGATGGGCACAGCACAGCTGGTTGCCGCGGGCAGGCGCCCCCTGGCTGGCCGCTCCTCCAGGGCCGCCGCCCCACCTGTGCCGCCCTGCGCCAGCATGCAGAGCCGCGGCAGCGCCGCCTCCACACGAGCGATGCCATACTCAACCTGCGCCCCAGCCAAGGTGTGAGGATGAACACATGAGGTCGCCCCGTGCGCATCCAGCCTGCCTTTTGTGCTGGAACACATCCAGCTGTCTATTGCGCCGCCTGCAGCCCCAACTCGACGCCCTGCTGCACCCTCTGCCCTCCTGCCTGCACCTCGCCAGCCACCCTCGCCAGCCACCCTCACCCACACCCAAGCAAGTGCCGCAGCAGCAGCACCCGCCCACCTGCGTGGCGTATCCGCTGAACTCCTGGCCCAGCGTGAGCGGCGTGGCGTCCTGCGTGTGCGTGCGCCCGATCTTGATGATCTTGTCAAACTCCTTCGACTTGGCATCCAGCGTGCCGTGCAGGTGCTTCAGTCCCGGCAGCAGCCGCTCGTGGATCTCTGCATGGAGGGGACACGCCGGGGGGGCTCCTCGGAGGCGAAGCAGGGCCGGGGCGATGAGCGGCAGGGGAGCCTGCCAAGGCGCCAGGTCAGCAGAAAGGTGCCCACCCGTGACGCCCGCGATGTACATGACCGTGGGGAATGTGTCGTTGGAGGACTGGCCCTTGTTGACGTGGTCGTTGGGGTGCACCACGCCCTTGTCGCCCAGGCTGCCGCCCAGCAGCTGGATGGCCCTGCACCGGCGGCAAGAACACAGCCGGCGCGGGCACCAAGGTAAGGTCGGCCTCCAGCGCACCACTCCGTCCCAGAGCAGGCTGCTCAGTCGAGCCGGGGCCGAGTCCTCGCCATGCGGCTTGCCCTTGCCCATGCCGTCCCCGGACCAGCAAGCGTGCGACAGCGCACCTGTTGGCGATGACCTCATTGGCATTCATGTTTGACTGCGTGCCGGAGCCGGTCTGCCACACCACCAGCGGGAAGTTGTCGGAAAGCTTGCCCTCGGCCACCTCCTGGGCCGCCTGCAGGCAGGTACGGCAGGCAGGCATCCATCATGGCGCTCCACCCTGCAGGCAACGCCCGCAAGCTGACCAGCAGCCGTGGCGGCCTCCTCTCCTCCTCGTCCTCGTCGAGACTGCATCCCCAGGACCCTACCCAGCCCCTCCACACACCTGCACCACAGCGTTGCCAATCTTGGGGTCGAGCACGCCGAGGTCCATGTTGACCTTGGCGGCAGCGCCCTTGAGCACGCCAAACGCGCGCACCACAGGCTCCGGCATGCGCTCCGTGGGCCCCCCAATCTTGAAGTTCTGGATGGACCGCTGCGTCTGCGCACCCCACAGCCTGCAAAGCGCAGGGCAGGGAGTGGTTGGCAGGGCAGGGCACGACACAACACGTGCCGCCGCCGCACGGCTGAGTCACCCCGCCGGCGTGCAGGGTTTGTGGCATCTCGGTTCATGGCCGCCAGGCGCCGGCTCACTTGTCCTCTGGCACCTCCAGCGGCCCAAAGGTGTCATACTCGGTGCGGGTGCCCATGGCTCTGACCAGTGCTGCAGGCAGGGGGGAACCCAAAGCTCAGGGCGGCCATCCGCTGCACCGACATCCCCTGGCGGCTGTCCAAAGCCCCAGGCTTGCCTGGCAGGGCCACCTGCCCTCCGCTCAGCTTAGAGCTGAGAGACTGCGTTGTTTTGCGCAGCATCAGGGCTCGACACTGTCAGGTCCGCACCTCGATTGTGCAGTCCTGATCAGCAGCGAGTTTTCAAATGCGCAAAGGCCGCCACCTTGCGTACAACGCAGAGGTGTCTGCTGCGACCATGCTGTGAAAGCCAATGAGGCCGCCATTAACTTGTCTCATTGGCAAGCGATCCAGCAAGTTGCAAATCAATGCAATCAGGGGCGCCATCGCCCCACCCACGCGCCACCTCCCAACCCTCTTCTTGGCAGCCCGCGGACCGCCCAGCATGTCTCAGGCGTTGCGGCAGGCCCTGTACATGGCCAGGAGCGCGTTGGCCTGCGCCAGCCGGGAATGCCTGACCAACCCCGCTGCATCGGCTGTGCAGCTAGAACCCCGGGCCTTGACGAGATTGCTGAGCTTCAGGGGGTTCAGGCAGCAATCCTGGGCAGCGCAGAGCGCCGCCGCGGCCCCCACTGGCCAGCAGCAGACGGCGCCGCCGCCGCCATCTCCTTGGACGCCGACGCGGGAGCTGAAGAAGCGTAAAATCCTGCCCAAGCGCATGCAGCACCTGCTGACGGTGAGCATTACTCTACTGCTGCTGGTGCTGGGAGACCGCTGGATCTTCGTGTGTGCCGAGGAGGACCGTGCAGCAGCAGCAGCGGCCGACGAGGCATGAATCAACGCATGCACTGTTTTGTGGTGTTGCGCGTGCTGTATCCCTGCCCTCATGCCACGTCTGTCGTCCCACCTGTTGCCGCCCTCCAACCTACCCCGCAGACGCTGGAGGCGGAGCGGGAGAGCGAGATGGCGGCGGAGCTGAGGCGGCCCGTGTTTGGGCCCGGCGACGTGATCGAGCTGCGGCTATCTGTGCCGGAGAACAAGCGGCGCGTGACGGTGTTCAAGGGCATCTGCATCGCGCGCCGCAACCGCTCAGTGCGCACAACCTTCACGCTGCGCAACATCTACGGCGCCTCGGGCGGCATAGAGCGCACCTTCCCGCTGTGAGTGCGGGGCGGCGGTGGGGGTGGAGCGGCGGTGGGAGTTGGCAGGCGCGGCTGCCCGCAAGGCTGTGGCACCACACATCTGCTTCTGCCGCTCAGGCTGCCACCCAGCACGGCGCTTGGCTCGGCAGCCCCGCCCGCCTGCCCACACGGCCTGCGTGCCCCGCCCGCACCCCGCTCCCGCAGCTACTCTCCACACATCACCGAGATGAAGGTACTGAGCAGCCGCAAGGTGCGGCGCGCCAAGCTGTACTACCTGCGCCAGCGCACCGCCAAGGAGCTTCGCACATGATGGAGGAGGGCGCAGGCAGAGCACAGAGCTGGCGCGGCTGGTGCCATGCACGCCAAGGGCTGCGCCCGGCAGCTTGGCTCGCCACCTCAGAGCAGCCTCAGCCGTGCGCTATGTGTTCTGGGTCTCATCACAATCTTGCTGTCACAACACATCAGGACAAAACTGGGAATGCTGCAGGTCAAATGTACAGAGCAGAAAAACTGCAGGGGCATACAGGGAAAACTCCAGCCTACAAACATCAGGCTGTACAGGGGTGGGCGTGTCTGGGGCTGCAATGGCCGCTTCACCGCTCCAGCTTGATGCGCCCGCGACGCATGGGCCGCTTCTCGCGCGGCTGGCCGGCGCCGGGCGGCGGCGGCGCCTGGATGCCCAGCTTGGCCTGCTGCGCCAATATCTGGCCTATCAGGTCCCCGCGGCTGCTGCCCACGTGGCGCCCCACCTCCTGGCCGTTGCGGTAGAACAGAAAGGTGGGCACCTGCAGGGCGGAGGGTGGCAGGCAGCCGCGGTGGCATGCACGGCCCTGGGCCTAGCAAAGGCGCCCCTCATTCCACACCCCGGGTTGCTCAACTCCTGTGGCCGCCACGCCCGCCGCCAGTGCCCTGCCATCCCGCCACCCCGCACACCACCCTGCCTCCTGCCGCACACCGCACCTCCTTGATGTCCAGCTCCGCCAGCAGCTGCGGCTTGTCGTCGCCCAGCAGGCGCGCAAAGGCGGCGTAGCCCACAAAGTTGGTGGCCAGCGCCAGCACGGCAGGGTAGATGTGCACGCAGGGGGAGGCGCTGCAGGGGAGGCACGGCGAGGGCGGGGGCGGTGAGGGCGGCAGGCAGGCGGCTGGCTGGGGGCAGCGGACAGGGCTGTCTGGCGGACAGGGCTGTCTGGCTGCCGGGCTCTGCCGCGGGTGCAGCTGGCACCACAGGGGCCCCACTGCAAGACCTGGGGGCCTGGACCTGCTGCTGACCACCAGCCTGCTGGCCAGCATTGCACGACCCGCGTGCCCACCACTCCCGCCTCCACCTGGCGGATGTCCCGCACCTGAGCAGCGACACATCCACCACCGTGAGCACGCGCTCCGGCTGGGCCGCCACAAAGTCGGCCAGCTCCTGCTTGGAGCCCAGCTCGGTGATGATGCTGCTGGCCTTGACGTTGTTGGCGGCGGTATCGCCGTAGTACAGCACGCCTGCGGTGGGGGGGGCCAGGGGCGGGGGCGGGCCGGGGGCGGTTGTGTGGGAAGCGGTGGTGGCGCGGGGAGCGCGGCGCACGTGCTTTGGGTGTTGGGCTGGTTGTTGGGGGAGAGTGGGCATGCGGGGCAGGGCCACGGGTCTGGCCCCAGCCTTCGCCCGCATGCCCCTCCTCCCTCCGCCCGCTCGCCAGCCTCCTCCCTCCCGCCCCGCCCCGCCCACCTTCCCCGAGCGTCTGGTCCAGGCGCACCACGCCGCGGTGCTCCCACACCTTCTCCCCGCCCTTCCAGAACTGCACCGTGGGCAGCACCTCCACCCCCAGAACATCACACAGCTCAGAGCCCTCGTCGGTGTCGGCCTGCAGGGAGGACGGCAGCGACGGCAGCGGGAGGAGGTGAGGTAGCTGCAAGCGCTCAGCAACGCAGCCAGCCAAGCGGCTCCCTCCCGCGCTGGTGGCAACCGGCCACACATGCACATGCTTTCTTCAAGCCTGTACCAAGGCAGGCTTTGCCAAGGCACGCCAAGGCGGCAGCCCACCTCCAGCGACAGGAACACGACATCCTTGCACTCGCGTGCGGTGCGTGCAAAGGTGTGCTTCAGCCCGCTGCACGGCTCCAGCGCCGCCTTCTGGTCCGCCTTCCACTGCAGCTCCGCCTCCTCCAGCCCCGTCTGGCACACGTGGTCGCTCTGCACGTTGAGCACAACCAGCTTGTCGCCCGCCTGGCGGGAGGAGGGGTGGCGGGAGGGGTGGGGAGCACGCGATCAGCGGTGCGGTTTGCAGGAGGGAGCACGCGGCAGCAGTGCTGCAGAGAACCACGGCGGGCAGCAATGTGGAAGCACAAGATGAGGCTGGCGGAGTGGAAGTGGGCACAGGCGGCGATCATCGCAGTCGCCGGGTTTGCTGACCCAGCTGGCGAGCCGCCAACCTGCTTCAGCTGGCGCTCCCAGTCTGCCTGATCCACGATGTCGATGACCCGCTCCTCCACCTGAGCCGACTCACGCAGCCGCCGCTCAAGCGCCTGCTCCGGCGTTTCGCCAGGCTGCACGCGGCAGGGACGGGAAGGATCGGTGTGATCCGTGGTAGTAGTGGCGGCAGCCCAGAGCATGATCGTACACCTGTTACTGACTACAGACGCTCAGCTCGGTAGACTACAGCCGGTCAGCTGGGCAGCCGGGCCTGCGTAGGCCGTGCGAGCTCCTCACCTTGACCCGCGCCGCCACGGAGCGGCGGCCTGGCTGATGGTGGGGTTGCAGCGACATGCGCGCCTGGAGCTGTCGGAGCCGCTCGCTGCAGGTGCTGGAGGTCTTGCTGGCCCTTGAGCTGCCGGTGGTGCCGGCGAGATGGGCGAACCCTGTCGCCGAGCCACGCATGCCGGGTGCAGCAAAAGTGCATGCTGTGCGATGTGCTAGTGGAGTCATTAGGAGCGCGGCGCAAGCGCCAGTGCTTCCAGCCCGGCACTAGGGTACACTGCTCGGCGCAGCAGCACGCAACGAAGCAACGTTCCCAGCACGATTGCAGGTGGCGATGGGAAACGACAGCGAGGATACACACATATCGCCCCGCTTTGACAGCTCATCCGCCGCCCGCATGAGCGGGGGTGCGGCATTGGTTCTTAAAAGTCGAATGGCATGTGTGTGTGTGTGTTCAGTACCAATCGCTTCGTAACAATTATGCTTTACAACAAAGCTCCAGTCGACGCCTACTCTGCGCCTTGCGTTGCGTCACACCACCACGCACTTGCCCTCCGGCTTCACCTTGGTGTAGCCGTACTTGCACCTCCGGCAGCGCCCATCGATGCCACACAGCTCGCACCCCTTCACCGTGCACTTGTGGCACTTGCCGCGGGCGTCGATGTAGGGCGGCGCCGGGCCGACATATATGTCGCCAGGGAACATGTACGACCCACTTTCCTTGGAGTTGCACCTCAAGCACTTCTTCTGCGTGGCAGCGTCACACTCTACGCAGAGCGGGTCGGCGCACCTGCAAGAAAGAAGCACAACAGCCGGCAGCGCTCAATGCAGGGCGGAAGCCAACAGCTGCCGCCAACGGGCACCCTTCAACAGGCACTGATCTGTGCAACCTTGACACATCGACCCGCGAAGCATCCCGGCAGCCCCTCACCTCTTTGGCTGCCCGCCAACAAGCACATAGCCCTCGCTCGCCCATAAGCAGCGGCGGGCGTTGCACTCGCTGCAGCCGCGCTGGCACTGCCGGCACTGGCCCGTCTTGGCGTCCTTGTACACACCGGTGTCTACCTCCCCATTTCCAAAGTAGGTGTATGAGGCGCAGGCATCGCACTTGGTGGGGGTCAAGCATGCGTCGCAGAACGGCACCAGGCACTGCAGCGCGGCAGGGTTGCAGGCAAGCTATGGCGGCAAGTAGGCTCAGGGAGCCGTGACACGCCGGCCAAGTGGGGCGGCCAGCTGCCAAGACCAGGGTGTAGTGCAGGCAGCGGCGAGAATTCCCACCTTGAAGCACTGTTTTTGGACGCCTTTGTACTGGTCCCAACAGGCCAAGCAACGCTTGCCGTCGGGAGTGCACTGGCTACACCCTTCAGACCTGTCGCCACAACGCACACAGTCGCTGTAGTCGCGGCACTCGACACACATGGAGCCCACCAGCCGGAAGCCGGAATCACATGTGCGGCAGCGGCCATCTCGGCTGCACTTGAGGCAGTTGGGCATACACTGCAGCAAGGCTAGGGGTTGAGTGCGCACGGGCATGTGTGGGGCGGGTGGAGCGGCAGCCAGCAGCGGCGCAGGGTGGGTTTTGGCCAGGCACGTCAGGCACGCAGGCAGGCAGGCACCAGTCACCGTTGGCATTGGCGTCACCTGCCGGCAGCGGCCATTCCCGTCGAGGTAGGTGGCGGTGTTGTTGGGGCCCCATGAAGTGCAGGTGGCGCAGCGCTTGCTGCAAACTGGTGTTGACTCCCAATACTCGCACAGCGGGTCGATGCGGTCGCAGGGAACACACTTGCCGCCGCGCAGATGGAAGCCATCTTCGCAGGCAGTGCACTTGCCCTTGGCGGTGCATTCATTGCAGTGCTCCACCAAGCCATCACACTGCATGGAAGCAGGTGCACGGGACACAAGGGCCTGGCATCAGCGTGCCTGTTCTGACGGTGGGTCGACGGCAGCGGGTTGCCAATGGCTCACCAGCACACAGACGCCATTGCGCAGGACCCTGCCAGTGTCGGGATCACAATGCTTGCATTTGCCGTCCTGATCACAGGCCTTGCAGCCATAGCCAACCAGGTGTGTGCACTGCGGTAGGAGGAAGAGGGGGCGGGAGCCACGGGTGGGTGGTGCACATGCACTGGCAGCATTGCCAGCGCCGATGTGCATCCCGGTGCTGGCCCTCTGCTCCTCTATTAACGCCGCACCTCGCGGCAGTTGCCCTCCCTGTCCATGTACACTGGGGCAACGCCATAGCCATCGGTGTACTCAGCCCAGGCCGGCCTCTTCATGCATTTCTGGCACTTCTCTGGTGAAGGGCTACACACGGCGCAGTTTTTGTCCTTGCAGGGATGGCAGGTGCTGTTGATCATCACAGAGCCCTCGCCACACTTGGTGCACTTGCTGCCGTCAGCGCTGCAGGCGCGGCAGCCTGTGCGCCAGGGGTGCTTGGTGCACTGCACAGCCGGGCGACGGGTAGGTTGAGGAGCTCAGCAGCATGGTCCCTTGCTCCTCCGACCCGGCACAAGGCATGGCCATGGCGCAAGCTGCAATAACTGCCCACGGCGCCCGCCCGCTGACTGCACCGCTCGCACCTTGGCGCAGGTGCCATTGGGAGCCCTGACAATCAGGAAGGTAGGCTCAGTGTAATCCTCTGTCCAACTGTCGTTTGGCCAACACTTGGCGCAGGAGCCATCGGGGCGGCATTCGGCACAGTAGTCGCCGCAGGACTGGCAGGTGCCGTTGGGGGCGAGGTACATTGAAAGCGATAGGGAGTCCCAGCACTTGGTGCACTGCCCGGTGGAGTTGCAGGTTGCGCAAAAGTCAATGTTGCACTGCGCCCCGCGGGTGTGTGGGTGTGTGGGAGGTTTCAGCTGTGCAATGGGCGGTAGGGCGGCAAGAACGGGCCCACCCTACCCATTCCAGCCGTGGGCACCCACCTCACGGCACGACCCACTCGTGTGGATGTACATGTTCTCTTGCATACACTTGGTGCATTTGGTGCCGGACGCGGAGCACGTCCTGCACCCGGTGGCTTTGCACTGCGGAGGAAGGTGGTGGAGAAACAGGTTGCGGCCAGCGGGGAAGAAGAGGCGCAGGAGCTGCGGCGCCAGCACAGCACCCACCTTGGTGCAGACGCCGTTTGAGGCCAGGAACATGCCCTCCACGCACAGGGTGCATCGATTCTTCTTCGAGTCACATGAAACGCACTTCAGGTCCGTACACTGCAGAGGGCAGGGGGGCGCAGGCTGGTGGGCGGCGCTGGTGGGCGGCACCGGCCGGTGCGGCCGGCGAGGGGCCGCGGGGCGGAAAAGGTGGGAACCCCGACTCGCGATCGGCGGCCTGCGCCCTGCCAGGGCTCATCACACCTTGGTGAACCCTGCAGGTGGCAAGAGCAGCCGGCACAATCGAGTAAAATGTCCTAATAACAAGTACACTTGTTGCCGGCCAACCTTCGGCGCCTGAGGCCTCACCGAGGGCGGGATGGGCGGTCGTGAGGGTCGCCAGGGCTGCCAGGGCCACGGCGGACCAAAACAGACGCGGTGGGCCCCACATCTGGGGGGTAGGGCAGTGCGCAGTGCAATCTATTGCAACATGATCAGTATAATACGGTTATTCTTAGGGTGCCGTGCTGACACGATACGGTTTGGGTGCCGTGCTGGTGCCAGCGCGACGTCGCAGCGCGGCCGTCTGACAAGACCCTCCCCCGCCTGGATTTAGTGGCTGCTGCTGCAGTTGTTGGACCAGCCTCTTGCACACGCTGATCCAGGATCCCGGCATGGGCTGCTAGAAGTCCATCCAGCGCCATTGCCACCTGCAGGCAGCTGTCGCCGCGCTTCAATGCACTGCCGCGCTGATCAATCTCTACTCTCAGCCTGACAGCACATGTTGTTGGTTAACATGTGGCATCTCTACCTCAACACATGGTGCCTGCACGTGCAGTTGTCTCAAGACTACCACACCACGCTGCTGTAGTACACATGCACACCATCCCGCTCTTTCCACCCGCCGTCTGCATGCATAAAATGCTGCGCGGCCTGCACTCCTACCACACACACATTCTCACATCCCTCCCACAGATCTGACACTCTTCGCAAACTCTCCACACCCAGCCAGCCACCTAGAAATGCAGTCGTCCATGACCCGGAGTGGCTTTGCCGCCGGCACCCGCCTGCCCCTGCCCCAGCGCGCCTCCCGCTCCGCTGCCCGTGCCGCGGTGAAGTTGCAGGCGCTTTTTGCCAAGACCAAGACCGTTAAGGTGATTCTGCGGAGGTGTCTGTGGAATTGAAGGGTTGTGGGATGCATCATCCATGGGGGGGTGGCAAACCACTCTGCGCCAGTCTTTCGTGGCTTCATCCACATGATTGTGGCTCGATACGCCGTTTGTGTGGCGGGGACCTAGGAAACTGTGGTGGGGCTGGTGACGTTGTGCATCCCCAGGCTGTTTTTACTGATCGCGACGGTGTTTTGGTGTGCAGGACGCACCAGCTGGAGCCAAGGTGCTGGTTGCGGGTAAAGACATCAAGGTGAGGCCGGGCAGGCTGGGTTTGCTGGGCCTGGGGGGCACATGGCGCTGGCGCCGCGGGCTGAACAGTGGGAGGGTCTCTCCGGGCCAGTCTGCATGGTCCTCTTGCCTTGAGAGCGTTCTGGCAGCCTCTAGGAAGCCGCTGGCTGCAGCCGGCTGGACCTCTCTCACTACTTTCTCGGGCTGGGGCACTACCATCGCCGCCGCCGCCGCCGCCGTGTCGCCGTTCATGTGTGCTCACGCCCCCCGCTGCTCCCCACCCCCACGGTTCAGGCCACACAGTTCCAGGCTGACCTGGGCTTTGCTAAGCCCACCATCGCTCTTGGTTTTACCAAGTCCAATGTGAGTCACTGAGTGGCATTTGCCTGCAACTGGCGGCAGCGTCGTCCGTGCAAGTGTCCTGGCCCCTTTGCTCGTGCATGCGATGTGAGCCCCTTTTTGTTGCCACTTGCAGGAGCTGTTTGTTGGCCGTATGGTGAGTGCGTGCGCCCAGTCCTGATGCACTCTCCCTTCACCGACCACCTGCCTCCATGGCAGCACGTTCCTCGCCTCAAATCTCACTGCTGCCTTTCCTGCAGGCCATGCTGGGGGTGGCGTCCGCCCTGATTGGCGAGGTGCTGACGGGCAGCGGACCCTTGGCCCAGCTGGGATACGAGTTCAAAGAGTCGATTTTTGATGTCGAGTTCGAGATTCTGGCAGTGATTGCTTTCAACTTGCTGGCTGCATTCCTGCCCGCCAAGGGCAAGTTTGTGCCCGACGAGGCGGAGCTGGAGGAGCGCCCAAAGGGCCCGCTGCAGGACCCCCGCATCTCCCTGCTGGAGCCCAAGCGTTTCCTGGGCGTATCGAGCTTCGGTTTCTCCAAGGTGAGTCCTGTTGGCAGCGGCTGAATAAAAGCCGTGCCGTGGCAGCCGGGCCGCCAGGGGCACTGCTTCCACTCACATATGCTTCCCCCACCTTGCCTGCAGGAGAACGAGCTCTTTGTGGGCCGCGTGGCACAGCTGGGCTTTGCTGCCGGTATGTTGCGGGCGGCAGCGCGGCAGGCAGCCGGGCGTGTGCGACCTGCACTGCTATTGCTGCAAGCAATGGCGATGGAGGACCCCCATGCTCACTTGCCTGCCTGCCTGTCTCCCCTCCCGTTTTGTTGTGAAGCCCTGATTGGCGAGGCAATCACCGGCCAGGGCATCCTCGGCCAGATCGGCATCGAGACTGGCCTGCCTCTGAGCCAGACTGAGCCGCTGCTGCTGGGCTTCATCGCCTTCACCCTGTTCGCAGCTGTGAACGAGGGAAGCGGCAAGTTTGTGGACGAGAAGTGAGCCATGGTTCTCCCCAAGCTGAGTATGGCATGATAGCAGTTTGTCAAAGCAAGAACATTACGTCAGAAAGCTCCTTTGGATATATTTGCACTTGGCACACGACCAAAACTCAGCCTGCCCCATTTCATTTGCCCCATTTCATTGCGAGTACTAGCCCCTCTGTAGCCCTAATACCACCACCACACACACACACAGCACCACCGCCTGTTGAAACTTGAATCCATTGAGATGTAAATGAACCTAAATGTTTGTCCCTGAAGAATATAAGTCATTGCAGTTAAACTGCACGAACAGCAAAAGCACAAAATGCGCAAGCAGAGCTGCGTCACTCGCCCACCACCAGGCCTGGGCCCAACCCGTAGCCTTCCAACTGCAGCGCCACCAGGAACGACTCAATCATGCCCACCAGCTCTTGCGGCCGTTCCTCGTTCGCAAACACGCCGGCCTGCACAGGACAGCCTGCAGCGTTAGTGCGCAAGCGACTCGCAGCCAGCACCGCAGGGCCGCCCCTCCAGCCAGCGCCCGCCAGCTTGCCTGTGGCACCTCCAGCAAGGCAAAGCGGTCCTTGCTGGCCCGCGTGGCCAGCTCCACGCAGTCCTCCTTGTGCAGCGCCTCGCCGCCAAACAGCAGCAGCAGGCGGCAGCGGATGGAGGGCACCAGGTGGCTGATGCTGGGCCGCGTCAGAGCGGCCCGCAGGTAGTGGCACACGGCCAGCGGCGGCAGCTGCTCACACTCGCGGCGGAAGGCCTGCGGCAGCAAGGGCACAGGCACGGGGTTGTGTGGAGGGCACAGAGCGCGTGCACACATGCCGCTCAGCTCCAGGGGAGTGCGATCGCAGGCTGCCCGAGCCCCGCCTGCTGGCCCAGCCCTCCAGCGCGGCGCCCACCTGCAGCAGGTCCGACTCCCCGCCCAGCGCCTGCTGCATGAGCTCCCCAAACAGGCGCTGCACAAAGTACTTTTTGACGCTGGGGCCCCAGCCCTGGTAGGACAGCTGGCGGCAGGCCACCTGGCCCCACGCCCACTCCCACCACCCCGGACGCTGGCAGCACGGCGACACCAGGATGAGGCCGCAGAACAGCTGCAGGGCAGGGTGGGAGGCACCAGTAACAACAGAAGAGCAGGCCAAACAACCAAACAAGCGTGTAGTGCGCAGGGAGTAGAGCTCCTCTGTTGAGCTGTCCCCAGCGCCCCCTGCTCACCGATGGGTTTTCAGCCGCCAGCTGGGTGAGCAAATAGGCGCCCACCCCCACCCCCATGCCTAGCACCTCGCGCAGCTTGAAGTGGCGCACCACATCTGCCAGCGCCTGCACCAGCTTGCCCAATGTGAGCGGCAGGAAGGAGGCGGGCGTCTCCGCCTCTGCGGCCTGCACCAGGGGACGGGCAAGGCGAGGTGGGGGCTCCCAGCCGTGCCCCGCTGGTTGCTCGCACAGCCCGCCAAGCAGCAACGAGCGTGGCGATGCATTGGTGGCGGACACACAGGCTGCCGGCACCTAGCACCGTGGCTAAGCACCCACCTGGCAGCCGGGGGCATCCACGTGATAGAAGCAGAAGTTTTTGCTGAGCAGCGACTTGGGGCCGGCGGCCAGCAGCAGGCTCTGAAAGCAGGAGCGGTGGTTGAGCCCGACGTCGTGAAGCGTCAGGCAGGGCGTGCGCCCGCGCTCGCCGCACACCGTCACCGTCAGGGGGCCCCACCGCGTGTCCACCGACTCTGCATCGCCTGCGAGGAGACGGGTGGGGAGCGAGAGTGTGTGTGTGGCCGCCGCCTGCTGCCGCCGCCGGCAGTAGCTTTTAGGCACCTGTCCTCCCGTGCTGCGCTCCAAGCGTTGTAGGAACAGACAATGGAATCCCCTGGCCTCCTCTGGGGCAGACAGGAAGGCAGGCCAACATGGTCGCGCAGCTAGCGCACTTGGCATGGCACAAATGTGGTCGCACAACGGCAAGCATCAGTACCTGGAACCAGGTCCTCGAGCGGCACCGCCGCTGTTGAACAAGACTCGGCCATTGCGTCGGCTGGCAGCAGAGCGCGGCGCGGAGGCCCTGGAAGACAGGAAATGCAGCTGTAACGATGAGGAGCAGAGCTCGGATGAAAGATCCTTCCACCAATGTGCTGCTGTGCGCAATGCCACTTGGCGGCCCGCCTTGACATGGCGGCGACGGGGGGCAATGTGTTCATCACAAGGACGATGAATCCTGAAAAGAACTGCCACTGATGGGCTTCGATCAGGTAAGAAACATATGATGTTGCATTGTTAGCCGAGAAATATGGCAACGGTCAAAACTGCGCAACAAGAGGGAAACAGAGGGAGGATATGTCCGTTTGGTGCCTGGCCTCGGATGGCCAGTCAGCAATACAAAGGAAGTGCAGAGGAGCCAGATACCATCATGGGCAACATGATAAAGCAAGATGAAGGGTGCGTTAAAATCGGCCACCGGGGAGGGCCTCACACGATGCGGTCGCCCCGTGTGGGCAGCTTGCCAAAGACGACGGCGGGCAGGGGCGGGGTGGGCGTGCGCAGCGCGGGCGGGCGGATGACGAAGCAGAGGGCAAAGGCCACCACCGTGGAGAGGCCCAGGAAGAAGATGAGGAGGGCCACAGCGGTCAGCACGCCCAGCACGCCCAGCGTGGCCGACGGGTCCTGCCAGGACAGCAGCGCCTGCAGAAGCGCATGGCAGGGGGAGAGGGGTTCAGCCAGCATGCAGCCCGCCCGCTACTGCAGCGCCGCCCCAGACTTTAACTGTCACATCTCAGCCCAGCGCCCGACGAGCGCCCTGCTCCCGCAACTCCGAAGGCCAGCCCAGCCCCCTACCCGCTGCTGCGGCCCCGGCCCCAGTCCCGCCCCCGGCACAGCCCGCTCCTCACCCCAGCGCGCTCCATCGCGGAGGCCACGTCGTCCAGCACGTTCTGCACCGCAGCCCCATGCGCGTCAGCCTGTCCACCTTGGCCCTCAGGTTGACCAGCGGGTTGACCGTGGTCGTCTCCAGGCTCTCATTCTCGGGCTCGATGTCGGGAGGGTCCTGCTCCATGCGCAGCGCACCCTCTGCGGCCAGGCACGGGCAGGCAGGCAGGCAGGCAGGCAGCAGGGGGCGCGTGTGGGCGAATGGGGCGCAAGGGGCGCAAGCAGAGGAACACGCGGGGGTGGTGGGGGGTGGCATGCACCCTTCAGCCGCGGCACGCCAGCAGCCAGCCCAGGGGGCCCATGCACGCGCGCCTTCAAACTCGGGCTGCACCGCCAGCGTGCCGGCCACCACCCAGGCCAGCACCAGGGGCACCGCCACGCGCGGCGCAAAGCACAGCACCACAATGGCCGCCATCGCCGCCACGCTCTCCCACGGCTCCTGCCACGTCTGCAGGCGCGGGAGCAGGGGGGACCCAGATCGGACCGATGGGGAGGCGGTGTCAGAGAACAGGGGGAGGCCCCAAGGCAACACCCCGCATTGCTCTCCAGGCTCCCGCCAGCTGCGCGCGGCCAGCATCCCCTCTTTGTAACGGCAGGCAGGCAGGCGGGCAGGCGGGCAGGCGCTTCACGGGCCCCTGCGCCCTCGCCTTGATGGCCTCGAACTTGCGCTGCACGCGGCGCAGCCCCACCAGCGCCATGCGGATGCGCCGGTAGTTGACCCGCGCCCGGCTCATGGCAAACACCTCCCTGCAGGCACGCAGGGCGGGGAGGGGCCGGTGTCGGCGTGCCTGGGCGTCCGCTGGGGTTGCACGCAGCAGTGCACCGGCGCGCGCGCGTGTGCTGCCCATCCCGGCTGTCACACGCCCGGCATGGCGCGGCACGCAGCAGCTGCCTGGCAGCCAGCAGCCCTGGCCCGGCCCAGCCCGCCCCACCTCTCCGCATCCAGCACCGTCAGCGCCTCTGCCGAGCCGATGGATGGGTTGGCTCCGTCCAGCCAGCGCAGCACGATGCGGCGGCACTCCCGCGCCATCACAGCCTGGTGAGCCTTAGCGTCCACGCCGTGAGCATAGGCGGCGCGGGGCAGGCGCGGGGCGGCATACCCCTTGAACAGAGCCAGCTGCACGCCAGCGGCGGGGTAGGCGGGCAGCACGGCGTGAGCTGCCTTCCTGGCTGGCTGGCCGGCCGGCCGGCGTGGGAGCTCCTCCCGTCGCCACGTCACCCAATGCCCCGCCATCCACACCACCATACATCCACACACACGCACACACACACACGGCCCGCCAGCCAGCCACCCACCGGGCTGGGGTAGCTGGTCTCGAGCGACAGCTTGACCGTGCCCGCCTCGTGTGCGCCCCGCGCCCGCTCCCCCAGCAGCACCAGGTCGGCTGAGAGCGGGGTGTTGGGGCGCAGGCACGACAGCCGCACCCGCAGCTTGCCCACCACCACCACGCCGGCGGCGGGTGGCAGGAAGCCGGGGCGCAGCCGCTCGGTGGCCTTCAGGCCGCGGGAGGGCTGGAACAGGGCTATGGTGAGGATGTGTGATGGGTCCAGCACCGGCAGGGACAGCTGCCACCCGCACTCCACAGACGTGCGCCCTGCAGCAGAAAGGCCGCCACAGCACAGCTTGAACAGGCGGCTGGCGGGCTGCACCCGAGCACCGCAGACACGACGAGAGGTAAGTGAGCGGAGCGGGGCGGTGGGAGCAATGCGCTGCGCGGGCGGGTTGCCCACCTCCCATAGCCAGCTGCTTGCTGCGCCCCCAGTGCGGCCCGCACTTGAGCACAAAGTAGCAGTCTGAGTTGCTGGCGGCGGGCAGCGAGATGCTGTGCACAGTCAGCTGCAGGGTGCCGACGGGCTCGGGCAGCTTGGGCGGGCCGGGGGCCAGGGCAGGCGCGCCGCCAGGCGCGGCTGCCGCATCTCCCGTGGGGACCTGCAGGCGGGGAGGCAGCAGTCATGCAGCAGGTGTGCGCGTACACAGCGGTAGTGCCAGCAGCAGCCCCACCTTCCCCCGCCAAGCTCGGCCCCGCGGGCGCCCCACCTCCTGGTCTGACGACATGTACCGCGAGATGCGCTGCCAGCCGTACTGCGCCAGCTCAGCGCCAGCCGTGGCGTAGCCCTTCAGCGCCGCCTTGGCCCGGTGCCGGTGGCTGTCCTCCCACGTCTTGAAGCTTTGCTCTGCAGGGAGGGAGAGCGAGGCACACGGGGCAGCCTGGCTGGGCAGCTGCCTGCACAGTGCCTCCCGGCCTCCCAGCGCCCCAGCGCCCTTCCTGCAAACGGCTGAAGGCACGTGCCCAGCACAAAGCACCATGGCGGCACAATCTCCTGCGCTGCCCTGCTTTCCCGCCTCCCCATGCACCCCACCCACCCCACCTACACCTCCCACCATGAACAACATCAGCGCCGGGTGCGCCTACCTTCGCGCATGCACCACCACCAAACAACACCAGCTGCCGTGCCGTGCCTGCGGCGCCTACCTGAGTGCATCACCTTCTTCTTCAGCTCCCGGTTGCTATACTCCAGAGTCAGGCTCTCCAGCCGCTGCACGCGCCTGCCCGCGCCGCCGGCCCCCTCCGCCGCCGCATGCTGCTGCTGCTCCTCCGGCTCCTCGCCGTCCAGGAAAGGGGCCTGGTACATGCAGCGCCGCAGGTCTGTGTCCACGAGCGTGGAGCGCAGCAGCACGCGGCCGCCTGGCTGGTGCTTGAGCACGCTCTCCAGCTCCACAGTGCTCTGCCTGCACGTCTCCTGGTTCTGGGCCAGCGCTGGCGGCACCAGGGCGTGCACCCACACCTGCGGGCGGGCGCAGAGGGTGGGCAGGCGATGGGGCTTGCTGGCAACAAACCAGCAGGCAGGCCACACTGCGGTGTGGGGAATGCCCACACAGCTGCACAAGGGAGCATCATGCGCGCAGGCTTGAGAGCCCAACACACACCAACCCTTTCTGCTGAAACCACTCACGTGCGCTATGCTGATCAGCCTGCCCCGCTGTGTACTGCTGCTGGTGCGGTACAGCTCCACCCGCAGCTGGCGGTCGCGCAGCGGCAGCGGCGTCGCAAACACAAACGTCTGCGCAGCATTGGGGGAGGCGAGGAGGTCGGGGCAGCGGTGCAGCAGCAGCAATTAAGTACAAGTCAACTCGCCGCCCCAGAGACAGCAGCTGTTTCGGGCCGCCGGCATGCCATTGCACGGCAGACTCTGCCCCTAGCGCCCCCGCTGACCTGGTGCCAGTTGGCGGCGCCGTTGGCGTGCTCCTTCTTGATCCAGCTCGTCTGCTTCTGCCTGCCCAGCACCAGGCGCACGTACATGCGCATGCCAGACAGGGCGTGGTGGCCCTCGTCACGCGACAGAAAGGTGGGGGGCCGCGCCAGCACAGACGACCGTGCCAGCTGGCCCTCGTCGGTGCTGTCCCGCCCTGTACCGCGGGGCGTGGCGGGATCCTCCTGCAGCAGCTCCTGGGGCACCTCCTCATCCTCCTCCACCCCCAGGCCGTACTCGGCCTCCCCGCCCATCCCCGCCTCCCGCTCATAAAAGTCCAGGCCGCCGTCTGCGCCAACAACAGGTGCAAAACAGCGGCGGGCACGGCAGAGGGTCAGGGCTGGCTGGGCCAGGGAATGCATGCAGCAAGGGCGCACAGCAGTGGCTGGAGGCACGGCATGGCAGGGCTGGGCGGGTGTGGCGGGCATCAACCTCCCCGCTCACACTCGTCTCCCGGGTCCTCCCCAGCAATCATGCCGTCGCTGACCGAGCTGCGCATGGAGGAGGAGTTGGTGAGGATGCGGGCAGCGCCGCCGCCGCCGCCGCCGCCGCCGCCGTGCTTGCGGTTGAACAGGCGCCCCAGCAGCTTGCCGCCGCTGCCGGCCACCGGGCTGTCGCCGCGCCAGGGGGCCAGCGGGCTGGCGCTGCCACGTGCCAGCGGGCTGCCGGCATCCGAAAAGCCGTTGGTGCTGCTTGCCCCCTGGCCCGCCGCCGCTGCTGCGGGGTGGGCGCCCAACCCCTCCACACGATCTAGTGTGACGGCCAGGCAGGCAATCAGCGGTTCCTCATACAAGATGCCGCGCTGGCTGTGCACCACCTGGGGCACCTGCTTGCGCGTGCCAGGCGGGCAGCACAGCGTGCTCAGCGCGCCGCCGTCTGCACACACGTGAAGTTGGAGCGTGGTCGGCCAGGTATACGACAAAACTCGGGGGGCCAACGTGAAGCGGGTTGGCTGCAAGCAGCGGCTTCAGCGGCAGGCAGCAGCCACCCCACCCGCCCTGCCCTCACGCCCAGCTCACCCTGATGGCCCTGGCCGCCGCCCGCCTCAAAACAAGCCGCCACCTGAATCTCCCCGGCATCCACCTTGCCCCCTGCCCGCGCGTAGCCGTACAACGGCAGCCAGCGGGGCGGCGAGGGGCCCGCCAAGCTGGCCACCAAGCTGTCAAACCGCACCCCCGCACTGCCCCAGGAATTCTTGGGCAAACCCCAGGTCCCATTCAAACACACGGAAGGCAACAAGGGGGCGGCGTTTTGCGGCGCGGCGGGGGGGGGCAGGCGGCAAGGCTGGGAAGGGGTGCAGGCCCTGCTGGGGGATCATGGATAGCGGCGCAGCTGGCAGGCGTGCCCCAGCAGTCCGGCAGCCAGCAGGCCAGCAGCGGGCGGGCATCGCATGGCTAGCTGGGTGCCCCGTCCGGCTCACCCTCTAGCGCCTCGGCCACGTTGGCCGCGCTGAAGCACATGGTTTCGTTCCAGCGCGGCTCCAGAGTCTTCAGCTCCGTCTTGCTGCTGGCCTTGTGCTCGCCCACCTGCAGGGGGTGGTGCCACGCATGCCATCTGTGATGTGTGCTGCTTTGGCGGGCAGGGGAAGCGCAGCAGGGCAGCACCGCAAGGTGCGATTGCTTCCGTCCAGCGCAGCCCACCTTTACAACGCAGTAAGGGTCGCTGAGGCCGTTGGAATCTGCCGCCCGCAGCCGCCGCGCCTGCAGCACCTGCACCACCAGGCTGCGCCCTGCCAGCGGGTGGGCAGCAGCCGCCGCTGCTGCTGAGCCGGAAATGGCGGCGGATCCCTGCCCGCTGTCCCCCGCATCGCTGCTCTGCTGCACGCCTGGGGATGTGGAGGGCGGCGTGGCAGGGGCCCCCAGCGCCGCTGCCGGTGCCGGGGACTCTGGCTCAGGCGACAGCGACGCCAAGCTGGCCCCCCGGGCGCCGCGCGCATCGCGAAAGCTGCGGTGTCGTAGGCCTGGATTCAGCAGCGACTTGATCGACCATCTGCCCTTCTTGTCGCCGTCCCTGCCCATGGCGCCGGCCACAATGGCGCCGTGCCTGCAGGCGGCGGCGGGCCGGCGGTCACAGTGACGGGCAGGGCGAAGCGCCGGTCAGACAGTCTCTATGAACCACACAGTCCTTAAATACCGGTAATTCAGGGCGACCAGAGCCCTCGTTGGGCTCTCGTCTCGCCCTAAGGCTGGTACCGTCCACCGCGAATGCTCACCAAGCTTGTTCCTAGCTCCACAATACCAGAGATCCTGCTGCAGCACTGCCGCCCTTGAGCGCCGTCCCGCAAGCTCGGCTGAGGAGACCTAGCGGGTCGGCCCGCGTCCCACAGAGCGCATACCGTTGGCTTGCGGCTCCCTCACGCTGGGCATTGCCGAGAGGCGGTGCTGACCGCGGTCATGAACACCTTGGGATGCCGCCCACCTGGCACCGGCGGTGTGGCTCCTCAGGCTTGCCCCAGCACTGCCAACCACAGAGCACAGCCCATCAAGTGCGCCGCTTACACACCACCAGCTCTAGATACAGGGCAATGCGGCGGCGCAGCTCCAGCAGATCTGGGGGGCAGGCCGACAGGCCCCGCTGCAGCAGCTGCACTGCGCTCCGCTCCTGGCCGCCCGCCAGCGCCTCCACAGCCTGGCGTAGCAGTGCCGCAGGATCATCGCTGTCACTGCTACTGATGGCCGTCCAGTCGCCGTGGTCCTCATGCTCTGCCTCGCTGCCGTTGCGGCTGTGGGTGGGCGTTTGCTGGAACTCTCGCTCCACTTCTAGCAATAGGTCGACAACCCTCCCAGCCAGTTCCGTATCCGATGTGGCACACCGCTCCAGCGCAGCATGCAGCAGCGCCTCAGCGTCGTGCAGCCGCCCCTGCTGGTGGATGAGCGCCGCCGCTTGCTCCGCCAGCACCACTGCGGGCTGCTGGCGGCGTGGCACGGCGCCGGGGGCGGCCTTGAACGGCGACACGCCGGGGCTGCTGCGTGGGGAGGCCGAGGGCGGCGTCCGGGCTCCGCCGCTTGTGCCTGATCCCGCGGTTGCCGGGCCTCGTCTCTGCTGCTGGCCCTGCTGCTGTAGCGCACCCTGCTGCAGCGGTGCCTGCTGGGCAGCAGATGGCACCACAGGCTGGTGCACGTTTTGTGGCGCGGCGTCTCGCCGCACCAAGTCCTCGTCTGGCACCTTGACCAGCCCACAGTAGCCTGCCGGCACGGGGTGCAGGGATGCGGTGTAAAAAGTGAGGGGGGGTCGGTGCTCCAACTTCAGAAACACAGGCAGGCAGGCAGGCAGGCAACCCTGACGGACCAAAACGCGACCCACCATCCCAGTAGGGCGTGTTTCTTGAGCAGGCCTCAATGTCCTGGATTTGCTGATCATACAACGTCATCAGCTGCTCCACCCGCTGCTCTGGGTCCTCCCTCTGCTGTGGCACCGTCCACATCGCGACGCGCTCGGAGGCGGCGGCGGCAGGCGGCGGTGGCCCCAACCGGCGGCAGTGGCGGTGGTGGTGTGGCGGTGGTCAGCGTCGTGTCTATTTGACTGATCAAAGGTCTGCAACCAACGTAGGCGTCTTTCTGTGCACTGGACACGCGGTGGTGAGAGGGCACCGTCGGAAGGGGGCCGAAACGAAGGGGGCCAGGTCTAACGCACCAGGAGCGGACCAGACCGTCTCTCTAAAGCAGGCATGAACAAAAGGAACATGAAAAATGGACTGCCAGCTAGGATAGCCTCACCCACATGTCTGTCCCCTGCAACAAGGCGCATTGCGCCAGGACGCACGCTGTCCCGGTGCATCTGCATCGCTGCCACATCCCTGCAGTGCGCAGAGCCTGCGGCTGGCCAGGTTTTGTCGACACTGCGGCCCACTCGGCACCCAGGCTCTGTGCAGCGTGCCGGGCAGCGCTCGACCACCTGGCAGAGGCATTTGGTCTTGTGTATGATGGCGCATTAGGCCCCTGGCCTGCCCAAACAGAAGCTCCTACCCACAAGCTGGCCAGGCGGTTGCAATGCCCTTCATTGCGAGCCAGCCCGCTGTAGCGGGCTCTTTGGCACCCAGGAGCGGCCGCCTGCCGCGCCTAGGTGGTGGTGCGTCGCACCAGCCGGCACCCCCGACCCAGCGGCAGCAGCACCAGTGGCGGCAGCAGCAGCAGCAGCAGCGAGCAGGTGCGCACAGCAATGGCGCGCAGGGTTGTAAGCACAGCACACAGAGACATGCGCATGTCGCAGCTGCTGTGTCGCATCCAATGTCCCTGACCCTCGCTAAGTCCTTAGCCGTGTTTCACCTGCAGGCCTGGTGCCGTGTGCGCTGTCTGGCTTGCGGGCGCTGGCCTTGCCGCCGCGGCCGCAGCAGCGGCGGCTAGCAGCGTGGCAGCAGCCACAACCGCAGCGGGTGCCTGCGCAGCCTGGCAGTCGCCGCTCCGTTGCGGTGCAGGCTGTGGCAGGGTTTGCCGCCGACCCGCTGGTCTCCCTAGGCTCCGACTTCCTCACATTCCTGATTGCCACCGTGCTGGTGGTGCCTGTGTTCAAGTCGGCCAAGCAGTCGCCCGTGCTGGGCTACCTGTTTGCGGGCCTGGTGCTGGGGCAGCTGGGGTGAGTGCTAGGGCGGTAGGCTGGCGTGAGTGCTCGGCTGGAGGCTCGACGAGCAGCGGGGCACGCTTACCCTCAGCGGCGCTGCTCCTACCTGTCCTGCTTGCCGCCCCGCAGCCTGTTTCGGAACCTGGAGGAGGTGGAGAAGCTGTCGGAGCTGGGAGTGCTGTTCCTGCTGTTTGAGATGGGCCTGGAGCTGTCCATTGACAGGCTGAGGGTGGGTGCCATGGCACATCGGCTGGGGCTGCGCTGTCGTGTGTTCTAGCCAGCCAGGGGTTGAGTACCTGCATGGTGCATGCGCCTCGCGGGGCGCCGATCCCCCTGGATGCGCTGCGCGCCCGCTGCGCTGCGTGCAGGCGCTGGCGCGGTTTGCCTTTGGCATGGGCACGCTGCAGATGATCATCTGCACGCTGGCGTTCACGGTGCTGGGCCTGCCACCAGGCGGCGACGCCTACTTCTCACAGGTGAGCTGGGCAGGCAGCTCAACGCGTGTTGCGCCCCACAAGTGCCTGCACATGCGGATGGCGGCCTCCCCGCGCCTGTTGCCCTTCCCCAGCGCCTCCTCTCTGCCTGCCCTCGCCTGGCGCTGCAGTTTCTGGAGAAGGTGCTGCACGCCTCACCCGCGCTGGCGGAGCTGCGCACCGTCGACGAGGCGATTGTCATCGGCGCCGCCCTCTCCCTCTCCTCCTCAGCCTTTGTGCTCCAGCTGCTGCGCGAGCGGGGCGAGCTGGACACGAAGTTTGGGCAGGCCACGCTGGGTATCCTGCTGCTGCAAGACATTGCCACCGTGCCCTTCCTGGTGCTGCTGCCGCTGGTGGAGGGCAACAACTCGGGTGAGGCGCTGCAGGGGCAGAGGCGACGACGCCATGTGACACTGGGCTGTAGTGTGGCAGTCGTGGGCCTCGCTGGCGCACGCATGTGCTTGACGCCCGCTGGTGGTGCCCTCTCTGCCTGCTTGCAGCGCTGCTGGAGGGCGCAGACACCATTTCGCTGCTGCAGCAGCTGGGGCCCACGGCGCTCAAGACGCTGGGCGGCCTGGGCATTGTGCTGCTGGGCGGCCGCCTCTTCATGCGCAGGTGGGACGGGCATCGAGCAGTATTCGAGGCAGCTGGCTGCCCGGGCGGCTTGCAGCCGACAGTTGGCTGGCTGGATGGATGGCCGGTGCCAACCCCGCCTGCTTCTTGGGCGTGCAGGGTGTTTGAGCTGGTGGCCGAGGCGCGGAGCGAGGAGACCTTCATCGCGCTGTGCCTGCTGAGCGTGACGGGCGCGTCGCTGCTGACTCAGCGCATGGGCTTTTCGGACACGCTGGGCGCCTTTGTGGCGGGCGTGCTGCTGTCGGGTGAGAGGGCAGGGAGAGCGGGGCGTTTCGGGGCTCCGCTTGCCAGCCCACCCCGTCCACTACACTCCGGCCGGCAGGGCTGCGGCACGCAACCACCTGCTGTGCCCTCCTTCCACCCCCCACCTCGCTGACCGCACCCCTCTGCCTGTCCTGGCCTTGGTCCGCGCTTCCCTCACCTTGGCCTGCGCCGCAGAGACCAACTTCAAGACGCAGGTGGAGGCAGACATCCAGCCCTTCCGCGGAATCCTGCTGGGCCTGTTCTTCGTCACCACCGGCTCCTCGCTGGACGTGGGGTGAGCACGCCGGCTGGGCCTGGCTCGCAACCTTGCCCAGCGGCAGCGGAGCTCGCCAGCACAGCTGGGGCCAGAAGCTGGAGCGGGAGGGTACTCGGCAGGGCCTGCTGATCACCTGCTCATCATGCAGCCCTGGCCCACCTTGCACGCCGGCAGCGGCAGGCCCTGCACCCCGCTGTTTTGTGCGCCCACGCCCGCCCACGTCGCACACCCTTCCTGCCCTCCCTCCACCCCGCGCCCCGCAGGCTGCTGGTGCAGGAGTGGCCGCTGGCGCTGGCGCTGCTGAGCGGCCTGCTGGCGCTCAAGATCTCTGTCATATCGGCGCTGGGGCCCATGTTCGGGCTGACCCGCGCCGAGAGTGTGCGCACCGGCTTCATCCTCAGCCAGGTGCGTACCGGGGCGGCCTGCCGCGCCCGCCACAAGCCCCGATAGCTTGCCCATGCTGCCCCGCTTCCACCTGCCGTCCCCCGGGCCACCGTGCTCGCCCGGCACCATCACTTCACTCCTCAGCCACCAACTCTGCCCCCTGCCTCCCATCCCCCACCCCTCACGCCTCCACCACTTCTCCCTCCGCAGGGCGGCGAGTTTGCCTTTGTGCTGCTGGCGCTGGCCAACCAGCTCAACGTGCTGCCCGCAGAGCTCAACCGCCTGCTCATCATCGTGGTGGTGTTGTCCATGGCCCTCACCCCGCTGCTGACAGAGGTCGGCAAGACCTTTGCCGCCAAGCTGACGGCGCCAGGCGGGGAGGGTGAGCACGCCGGCCGCGTCCGGCCGCCAGCGCGCAGCCAGCTGGAGCGCGCCGCGCCGCCCCGCGCCGCGCCGCGCGCCCAAGCCCCCTGCTGCTGCCTCCGCCTCACGCGTGTGCCTGTGCTGGCCCCCCGTGTGGCCCCGCGTGCCCCGCCTGCAGCCCTGTACAGCAGCGAGGGGTACAACCAGGAGGAGCCAGTGGTGATTTGCGGCTTTGGCGGCGTGGGCCAGACTGTGGCCAACATGCTGGAGAGCCCCGCCCTGGGCCGCCCCCTGCCGTACGTGGCCTTTGACAACAACGTGGGGCGTGTGCAGGCGGCGCAGGAGGCGGGGTTCAACGTGCTGTTTGGGGACGGCACGCGCAAGAAGGTGGGGGAGGGGTGGGGTGGCGGGCGTGCGCACGCGTGTGGTGTGGTGTGGTGTGGTGCGCGTTGGCGGGCAGCGACCGGTCCTGCTCGCAGAGGTGCATGCATCTGCGGCCAGCCAGTCCTAGCCCTGGCGAACTGCGCCACGGCGTGGCTCTGCGCTGCCAGTCATGCCGCGGAGCCCCGCCTGAATGCCTGGCCCCGCCGCATCGTGCGACGCAGGTGCTGCACGCGGCGGGCATCGACAAGCCTCGCGCGGTCGCTGTGGGCTACACGGCTCGGCAGAAAGCGGTGTCAGCTGTGGAGGCGCTGCGGGAGGCGTACCCTGGGGTGCCCATCTATGTGCGCGCGCTGGACATGGCGCACGCGGCCTCCCTCAAGGAAGCAGGCGAGCGCCGCCGCCCGCCGGGGCGCGCGCGTGTGTGCGCTGGCTGGCTGGGTGTGGCGTGCGGGGAGGTGCCCGTGCGTTTGGGCTCGGGTCGCGGCGCCTGCCGGCGCTGCTGCCCCTCCCTGCCCCTCGCTGCCCCACCCTGCGCCCCACCCGACCCGCTGCCTCCCTGCAGGCGCCACCGACGTGGTGATTGCCGAGGCGGAGGCGGGGCTGGTGGTGGGCAGCCAGCTGGCGCGGGGGCTGGGGGTGCCCGACCGCGCGATCAAGGGCCTGGCGGGCGTGCTGCGCGCCGAGATGGGCTCCTTTGCCGCCGAGCTGGCTGTGCGTGCGGCCGGCGAGGGCAAGGACTCGTCTGAGGCCGCCTCGGTGTTCAGGTTTGACCAAGCCAAGTCGCCCGCGTTCACAGACGATCCCATCTCACGAGACGAGCCGCTGCCGGGTGGGTGGGCTGAGCGACCGCGGCAAGGGTGGTTGTGCGGGTGTGTGTCAGTGTGAGTGAGAGGGGGTGGGTGAATGGTGGCCAGCGGCAGGCTTGCTCCAGCGGCGGCTCATGCCGGTCTGCGACGTCTGCGCCCCTCCGCCTGCCGCTGCAGAGGCCCCCCTGGGCAGCGGCCTGCTCTCCTCCATCATCTCCACCCTCAGCAGCGGCGGCACCCTGGACAGCGTGGACGAGGGCGGCGAGGCGCCGGGAGCGCGCTCCGCGGCGGCGGCGGTGGTGGTGGCGCAGCGCGGCGCGGCGGCGGATGCTGATGTGGAGGCCGGCGTGTATTCCATGGTGAACGACATGGTCAGCGTGCTGGCCAGCTCCGAGCTGGACCCAGATGAGGATGGGTGCGCCCCGGACGGCTCCGTGGACTGCCCCGTGCCCTGGGATGCCATGGTCAGCGGCAGCAGCGACGCAGAGGAGGCGGGCGTGGCGGCGGTGGCGGCCGCGGCCGACGACGAGAAGCAGTAGCCCCTGCGGCAGGCAGGCACCCAGCTCGGTTCACACCCACAATTGTTTCCAGTAGCGGCAGCAAACAAACGCGCTGCCGCGGCTCAGTCCCAAATTATTCTTTCGACCCCGCCCTATTTCTTCTTACCCGCCAGCCCCTGCTATTCTCAAACTAACTGTCAATTGTTCTGATTCTTCGGGACTCGATACCAGCTGTAATAATGAGAGCTGATTGCTGCTGAAATGCAGCCCTGCCATTTGGGCACCGCCAACGGCGGGACGGCGATGTACGGCCGCTGAGTCCTCTCCTGAGGGCAAATGCAAATACACAATCTGCATCGGACCATCCAGAGGTGCCAGAGCTTCCAGACATGCTGCAGGCGTGTGCAGCAAGACCTCTCCTCCAAGCGAGCGCCTTGCGGGCGCTGTCTTGCTGCGCAGCAGCAGCGGAAGAGTTAGCAGCAGCGAAGCCAGGCACTGTAAGCGGCCCGTACGACCAGCACATACTGCTGCAGTTGCCCCGCCCGGTTGACGCGGTGCGGGCGCCCGGGGTGCCCGGCGCCTGGTGGCCGCAGCTGGTAGAGCGGGAGCCCGCCGTTGTTGAGGCCTTCAGGGAGGTTGCAAGACGGGGTGATGTCATTGGAAAAGTGAAGATCACCGCATTTGAGGAGGTGGCGAGGCGGGACGAGGGCCCGCCGCCCGGCGCCTGCAACCTCCTTGCCTTCCCGGCAGGTGTGCACCACCTTGGTGCTCGTGGCGCCTGGCCTTGCTCCTACCGCTGCCCCCTCATCTCCAACTGCCTGAAAGGACGCGGCTGGCTGCCTGCCTGCTTGCAGGGCTGCAGTTTGACGGCCTCCCCGTGGAGCAGGTTGGGCTGGCGGTGGCGCTGGCAACCGCAGACGAACCCAACAAGCTGCCGATGAGGGCGAGCGACCGAAGGGCGCTCACCGCATGCATGGTGGGCCAATGGCTGCCGCCGCCTCCCATCAGTTTGCAGGCCTGTTGCACGGCTGGGCGTATTGCAGGCTCTGCTCGCGCCTTTGGACATTGGGCCGTTTGGACATTGCACCCAGCAGCGCCTCATGGCGTGTGCCCTCCTGCAGGCCGCGACGCACGACCTGTCGCTGTTTGTGTGCTGCCACGCCGCCCGCGACGCGCGCTGCGGCCAGCTAGGGCCGCCGCTGGCCGCGTCGCTGCACCGCCTGGTGCGTGCCCGCGGCCTGGAGGAGCATGTGGCTGTGTATGCCACATCCCACATCGGGGGGCACAAGTATGCGGGCAATGTGGTGTGCTACGGAGCCGTGCACCCCTGCGACGGCGACTGGTTTGGCGGTGTCAATGCCGGCAACGCAGAGTCCTTTCTGGATGCGCTGCTGGCGGTAGAGGTGTGTGGAGCTGGATGCTTGCTGCTGCCCTGTTTTATGATCGCTGCCCTGCCTGCTGCGCTTGCTGAGGCGCTTTGTGCCTGCTCACCTGCCTGCAGCTGGGCGTGGATGGCGGGGCGGAGCATGCGGCGCTGCGCCCCTTTTGGCGCGGGCGCATGGGGCTTAGCAAGGAGGAGCAGCGGGAGCTGTGGGAGCAGGTGGGCGCCCAGCCAGCCACCAGGCCAGCCGGACAACAATCAGTTGTTCTCAATCAGCTGGAGCACCTGGTTTGGTGCCACGCACTCACCGCTTGCAGGGCGGCGGCATTGAAGAGTTGGAGGGATCAGGGGATGAAGAGGAGGAGATTGATGAGGAGCTAGAACAGCTGCTGGCGGAGCGCCGAAGAGGGCTGCTGTAGCCTGGCGGCTGTAGCCCCTTCCCTGGAACAACAAACAACAGCACACCGCTTGCCCTTGCCTGCCCTGCCCGCTGGCACCTGATCTGTAATTCTTTACAGCACCGCACGAATGCATGGGGCGGCGCAGGAGAAGGTGATAGGGGAAGGGAGTGAGAGAATGGGGAAGCTCACAGCGGAGCTTTCAGCACCGGGAAGCGTCAGACGAGAGAGCAGGCGCAGTTGGGTTGGACACTGAGAGACTATGATTGGTGTCAGCCAGTGCTGTGCAGCTCTCATAAGCTAGACTCGGGAGCAGGAGGTGAGGGTCGACAGCACAGCAGGCCGGGCAAAGAGGCCTGCACTCCTAGCCCCGCGCCAGCTATTTGGAAAAACTGCTGGCAGTGCGGGGTACTGATGCTGCTGCGCCTGCTGCGTCACGAGCAGGTTGGGGGGCTGAGGTGGGGGCCATGGAGCGCTGCGTGCCGGACAGTGCCCCGGTTGGCTGCTGCATCCACCGCGCCCCCTGGCCAGCCACCTGGCGCCACCTCATGCCAGCAGGGCATTGGCCAGCCGCAGCAGCTCCTCCTTGAAGCGCGCCACGTCTGGAGGCAGGGAGGGGGCCAGGGTGCAGGCTGGTGGGCGGGCTGGGGCCGCAGGTTTAGCACACCTACAACCTGGGCACCCAGGCCAGAGCAAGGCCGCCGACTGTGCACAGCCTTCTGCCCGCCAGCCAGCCGCGGCCGCGGGCATCAGCACCGCTTGCCACGGTCTTCCCCACCCCCTGGCCAGCAGCCACGGCTCCCCGCACGCCCACACCCACCGCTGTGCGCTATCTCGAAGATGCAGGTGTCAAAGAGGTCGTGCCAGGCCTGAGCCCCCACCCGCTCTGTGGCCTCAATGAACGCCGTGCCCAGCTTGTTGCCCTGCGGGAGCGCGGCAGGGGCCGGGGGAGCAGAGGACGGGCGAGAAGGTGGGTGGGCTTGACGCACCACAGGCAGGGCCTGCACCCGTGCTCGCCAGACGGCGCCGCAGATGCGGGGGCGCCGCTGCCACCGCACTTCCGTCGCCCGAGGGCCCGATGCGCCCTCCCCCAAGCGCCCCGCCACCCACCCGCATGCGCTGCGTGGCCTCGTAGCCGATCACCAGGCACCGCCCTTCCGCAGACCGCGGCCCGATGAGCATGACGGGCTTGCGGTGGCCGCTCGACTGGAAGTACTGGTCCTGGAAGAAAGCGGCCAGGCGCTGCAGCGCCATGGGGTGGCCCTGCAGGCGGGCGGGCGGGCGAGAGGAGGAGGGCAGGGAGGGCGCAGGTGACGGCAGAGGCGGCGGGGCCTCGGCGCGGCCGGATGCCTGAGTCCACGCCGCCACCCCGCATCCCCGGCCTGGCTGCGCGTGCGGGTGCTCACGATGAGGTGCTGGTTGTTCATCTTGTGGTCTGACAGGTCAAAGATGCGGAACTGCTTGAAGTTGTGGTAGTGCCGCTGTACAATGACCGCGCCGCCATCTGCGCACGCGCACGCACACGGGCGGGGCGGGGGCAGGGGTGTGTGGGTCGGGGACTGGTTGGCGTGCTGGCTCATCACCGCCTGGGCAGGCTACCATCCGCCACCCCAGGGTGACCGCTCCCCTGCACCCACTCCCCACATTCACGGCTGACCACACGCCTCACCGCTGATGAGCGCCTGCTGCACCTTCTTGGCCAGGTCCAGCCCCCGCCGAAGCTCCCCAGCGTCTGATCCCCAGCTCAGAGCGTGGTACGCACGCCTGCGGGGCACAACAGCGGCACAAGTAAGAGTAAGATCCAGGCCAATAGCACAAGGGCCACGGCTCCCAACCCCAGCAGCCCAGCCAGCAGCCAGCAGGCGAGCCGGGGTGTGCCAGGACCAGGCAGCTGCAGCTGACGTGTGCAGACGCAGGCTCCGCCGGCTGCCGTGTTTGCCGGCCGCCCACCCAGCCCTCACCAGAACTTGTCCACGTGGTCCCCAAAGTTTGTGACGGGCCCCTTGCGGGACCCGCACTCTAGCAGCGCCGTCACCGCGTGCACCAGGTCAACGGCATGGACGCACCGCTTCAGCCCATCCTGCAGACGGCAGAACACGCCGGGGGGTGGGTCAGCCAGCAGCAGCAGCACCCGGGGGGAAGGGAGGGCAGGTAAAACCAGCAACAAAAGCAAACCCCGCAGGGCATGCCGTGCCACAACAAAGCGCGGCCAGCAGGCGCGACTGGCGGCAGGCCGCCGCATGCATGCCTGCAGCTGGAAGGACTTGAAGGTGACGTCAGACATGCGGAAGGCGGGTGCATGCAGCTCCAGCTTGTCCTGTAAGCTATGGCGGTACCGTGGTGCCATGTCGTCTGCGTTGCCAGGTGGGGGCCAGGCCAGAGGGCGCAAGAGGGGGCACGACATCAGTCACAGCGGAAACAACGAGTGCAGCCCAGAGGTGTGTAGGCACCAAGCTGACATGGCTCCACAAGAACGCAACACACAGCTGTGCAGCTGCGACAGAGCGCTGCTTGGCTGATGCCGAGGTGGGCGGCGGCATCAGCGGCTCACATCCTTCCCCCGCGAAGCTGCGCTGCGCCTCTTCCAACGGGATGCCCAGCTTGGCTAGCAGCAGCTCCAGCAGGGTGCGCCCCTTCTCTGCAGCCAGGCAGGTGGCAGGCAGGCGCAACATGGAACCAGCTGGCACCCAGCCCAGCAGCAGCCTGTGCGGCACACCAGGAGGCTCGCCGCCCCAGGCAGGGCCGCACCTGTGTAGGTTTGCAGGCGGGAGGCGACATAGGGGCTGTTCATCATGGCCTCATACAGGTTCCACTCCCACAGCAGCCCAAAGCGGTAGTCGTCTTGTGGCCTGCAGGCACGCGGCGGAGGCGGCTCGGGAGCGTGAGGAACGGCCAGCGCGACACCGCTGCATCCGTCGGCAGGCGCAGGCGCGCCCGGCAAGCACAGCTTCATGGCAGGCCGGGCCGGTGCAGCAGGCGGCTCACAGGATGCGGCAGGTGATCTGGTTGTTCAGCACCGTCACGCCCTCCCCGTCTGCCACCTCCCGCTCAGCAGGCACGTCCAGGTGGCCGTTGCTGCTGACGTAGGTCTCGTAGTGGAGGTAGTACTCCAGGTACTTGTCGGCTGAAGGGAACCGAAAAAGAACGGAAACAGATGAAACTCAAGGTGAGTGGGAACGGGGGCTGGTGGAAACGAGGCAGTGAACGGGGACTGGGAGGAGGGAGGGAGCGTGCCCGCCCACGCTGCTGCAGCCTGCAGCCCAGCGCGGTACCGCTGCACGCACAGCAGCTGCCACCCTCCCCTCGGCCAGCCCCACCCCAGGCGGCAGCACCGTGAGGCTTGCCGCCTGGCTGCCCGCGCACCTGAGATGCGGTTGTGCACTAGGTGGTCGGTGAGGCCCACCAGCGCCAGCCACAGCATGTGGGCATTCTCATGGTTCAGCTGGTATGCCAGGTCAAACATGAGGCAGGCCGCGGGCTTGCCGTAGCTCACACCCTGCGCATAATACTGCTCCCGAAACGCCTCTCGCTGCTCCCGCTCCTTGCGCCGCTGCTGGCGCGGGCTGGCGCGGCTGCCCTCGCCGCCGCCGCCCTCCTCCCCGCCGCTGCTGCTGGGCAAGCTGAGCCGCCGCCTGCGGGGGCAGGCACGAGGCAGCACATCTCAACACAGGGCATGGTCCCACCGCTGGCATGCGGCCGCGCTCTCTCCTTGCGCCCAGGCCGCTGCCCGCAGGTTGGCGCGGCGCGCTGTGTGGGCATGGCAGCAGCAGCACAGCAGGCGCGGGCTCACTGCTTGGCGGGCGGGTCGTTCTCGTCGTCGCTGTCGCTACCCTCTGGGTACTCAAAGGGCGGCAGGTCTGCCTTGGAGGTGCCCTCGGTTTCATCCAGGAACACGATGATGCCATCCTCCTCAGAGTCCAGGTTGTTCAGGTGGCAGATGGGCCTGCGGGGCAGCCCACGGGCGGGGCGGAAGGCTCCCTTTGCTACAGCCCTCCCACAGCTGCATCCTGACTCATGCCTGCCAAGCAATCCCCAAACAGCAGCAGCAGCAGCAGGCAGCCACAAGCGCAGTGCACGCATGTGCAGGCCGCGGAGGCAGCTCGCCGCGGGCCAACCCCCCCTCCATGCCTGCCGCCCATCCACACGCTCCCGGCGCGCACCTGTGCGAGTCGATGATGACCACCCGCACATTCTCGCGCTGGTCCAGGTGCAGCAGCGCACGCACGTCCTCTGCCGCGCCGCAGTTGATCAGGATGGTTGTGCGCAGCGCGCTCTCCCCCTCTGTGTAGTACCTCTTGAAGTCCTCCTCAATTTCGTCGTACCGGCTGACCGCCATCCAGCCATGCGTCACGCGGTCACACTTGAATATCCCCTGCAGGCGGGGCAGCAGGGCACGGCGGCCGGGCGCGGCAGGGAGCAAGTCGGCGGGCAGGCACGTGGGCCGGCGCTGCAGCGGCAGCACGTACGCGCAGTGCACTGGAAGCAGCTGCTGTTAAAGTGGCCTGCAACAGCCGACCAGTTGGGCGGCACAAGCCGTGCTGCTGCAGCTGCAGGGGCTGCGGTCGAGCCCGCGCCGCACCTCTAGGATGCGCAGCGCGCAGACCGAGTCTGCATCGGAGGAGCAGGCATAGATGAACACGTGCTTGTCATCGCTGCGTTTACTGTCCTCGCAGATGGACCGATACAGGGCGGTCCACTCGTCCGAGGTGGTGATGATCATGCTGCTGGTGACGCTGCGCCGCCGCTACTGCTGCTGCCGCCGCCGGGTCGCTCGTGGGCTGCCGTGCCGGCCGCTGGTCCATGCACCAGTTCGACGTGCCGGCTGGCCTTGATCACAGCAAACGGCCGTCACGCCCCGCGACACAAGCAGGCGGGCTGCGAGCCAAGCCACACACACTGCAGGAGCTGTTGCTCTCTGGCACTGTTGGCCTGCCACCGCACAGCCGGCGCTGTCAGTGCCGCTGCACGGCCCTGCCGCCAGCCATGACCGCTAGTGAGTCGGGTGCAGCCGATTGGAGCGAGGCCCGCCAACCCCAAACCGCCGAGGCGAAGGGCGCGGCGAGAGGGTTGCTGGAAGTGCCTGCTACACTGTTGGTGGTGTGGATGAAACGAACAAGGAGGTGGGCAACAGGCAGCACAAGCCCCCCTTGTTTCAATTCGAGGAGGCCCGTCTGGACGGCCGCAGGCCAGGGGACAGGGACTTGGATCTAGGTGCACAGTGCGTGTGGACAGGGTGCTCTGAAGCCGCGATGGTGCCGTTTGGCTGGCGTGCTCTGCCTGGCTTTCCACCTGCTCCGCCACGGCGGCAACAATAGCACTGTTCAGCGCTGCGCAGCTGCCTTTGACGCCCCAGGCGCCTGGATTCAGGGGCATCGTAATGAACAGAGGTGCCCACCAGCCTGGACCCTTCCGGCGTAGCGGCACCGCGGCGAAGCCCGGCGGCCACCACCGTTGACGGCGGTGACCGGCGCACCAGGAGTGGAGAGTGGACCAGGCCATGATGCTCGATGCTGAACATAGAGTGTACATGGGCCAGCATTGATAGGGAGGAGGCATCCACCCTTATATGGGGTTGGCTTGCCAGCTTGCACCCCCTGTCGGGACCGTTCGGTGATGACGTCAGCGTGGCGCCCAATCCTACCAGCCCACCCGTGCCGGACTGACAACCTTCCAGCACATCAATCAGCACTTGAAAGCAGTATGGCATGCAGGACGTACTAGTGTTCTCCCTCGTGCGCCTGCTGGGGCCGAGGGAGACATGAGGGTCGGGAGCCTGCTTGCCTGGGCAGCAGCATGCGTGCTGCTCCTGTGTGCGGCAGCGGCCCCCGCTCGGGCGGCGGCGGCTCTTCGTGCAAGTGCCCTTAGTGGCACCGAGCTCCTGCAGGCTTTGGAGGATGGAGCGACCGAAATTTCGCTCCTAGGTGAGCAGGAGGGGCAGGGGAAAGGCATGAAGCAGGGCCGCGAGGTTGCCTCCGCTGCCGCCGCCGCTCGTGTAAGGAGCGCCCTGCCCGCTAGCCTGGTTGCAGGCAACATCCAGCTCAGCCCTGCAGACTGGCAGCAATTCACGCTGCCCATCGTGCTTCCGGAGAATGCTACTGTGTTGATTCACTATGACAGCCCAGGCACTACCTGGGGCAACCGGGCATTCCTCGACTGGGGCTCAGCGCTCAATCTGATCGACGTGCCGCCCGGCACCACCCTGCGGTTTGACAGCATCATCTCTGCAGACCCGGGCAATTACACGCTTGGCCTGGAGACCATGGCCTTCAAGCAAAATGGTGTGTGCACGAAAAGTCCACATGGTGTCCACACATGTCCAACTGCTGGAAGTTTGTCCACCCGCGCGCGTGCCCCCTGTGTCCAGGTTCATACCTGTGGCCCACTGTGAATGCCCAGACGGGGGCCTCGCTTGAGTTTCAGAACTGCTTTTTGTTTAATGACGACAACCGCTGCAGCCCGGAAACCACAGAGGTGCGCTGAGCTGTGCTCTGGGCAGCATTGCACCATCATTCTCATCTGGTGTCCGCACAGCAATGCTACCGCCCACCCCCTGCCTCACCCAGCCAAGCCTGCCCTCCCTTCGCGTGCTGCTTGCCCTGCAGGCGGCAATCACGCGGCTGCAGGCGATACTAGGGGAGGGGAGCATCGAGTACGTGGGCGGCGTCAAGGCGTTTTATCCCAACCTCAGCTCCCCCATCCCCAATTTTGACATGGAGGAGGGCCAGATTGTGGGTAGCGTGTACCTCAGCTATGTCAATACCTCCTCCGCCTGCTTCAACTCCCTGGAGCCGCGCAGCGGAGCCAGCAGCAGCGGCAGCAGCGGGCCCACGCAGGCGGTGAGCGTGTCGAACGGCATTGAGTTTTTGACTGCCCTCGAGGACGGCGCCACCAACATCTCCCTGACAGGTGCACTGGGTGCCCATGCCAGCAGCGGTAGCAGTGGCAGCATGTAGCGAGACAAAGCTGCAAGATGGCCACCATGCAGCCATGCTGACGCTTGCCATGCGCATGCCCATGCGCATGCCCTTGCTGCCGTGACCCTGCAGCCGACATCCAGCTGGGCCCCCAGGACTGGCAGAAGTTTGCGCTGCCCATCCAGATTGCGGAAAACACCAGCGTGCTCATCTTCTTCAGTGCGTGGCGCCAGCTGCCTGGCATGGGGTAGCTCGGGGCTGGGAGTGTGCGTTTGGGTTGTCTATTTGGCGCACCGGGCTCCATGCTGACCCCGCCTCGTGCTTAGCATGGCGTGCAGTCGACGCCAGCAGCGGGTGGGGCCTGCGGCCGCGGCTGCTCAGCTGGGGCTACGCCATGAACCTCATCAACGTCCCGGCCAGCGCCACCTTGGCCTTTGAGAATATCGTTTCCAAGGGTGGGTGCTGCAGGGCCGCTGGCCCTTTGTTTCAGCAAGTAATAGTACTACAATGGTAGCTGACTCCCTGCGTTCCCTGCCCTGCTGCTCTGCAGACCCGGGCAATTACACGCTAGGGCTGGAGACCATGGCACTCAAGACAAACGGCTCGTTTGTGTGGCCCACAGTCAACACGGAAACAGACTCGGCGGTAAGGCTGGGCGCTGACAGGGCGAGACTGTGCAGTATGCTGTGCCGCTTCATCGCTATGCATATGGGCATGTGTTGCTTCGCTTGACACCGTGCCTGCTGGCCTCCCTGTTCTGCCTTGTCTGCAGCTCACCTTTGACAACTGCTTCCTGTTCCATGATGACAATCGCTGCAGCCCGGAAACCACAGAGGTGCGCTGAGCTGCGCTATGGGCAACATTGCATCATCATTCTCATTTGGTGTCCCCATAGCAATGCTGCCACCCACCCCCTGCCTCACCCAACCAAGCCTGCCCTCCTTTCGCGTGCTGATTGCCCTGCAGGCAGCGATCACACGACTGCAGGCGATACTAGGAGAGGGGAGCATCGAGTACCTGGGCGGCGTCAAGGCGTTTTATCCCAACCTGGTGCGTGTGCGGTAGCAGGAGGACTGTAGCTGCGCTGCCGCTCCATGCTCTGCCTGCCTGGCTGCCTGCCCCTCATCCCCTGCCCCCTGCTGCTGCCCTGCAGACCTCTCCCCTGCCTGTGTTTGACATGGCTGCCGACCGGATTGTGGGCAGCATGTCGTATGTGCTGCGCAACGTCACCTCTGAGTGCTTCAACTCGCTGGATCCAGCCGCCATGCCCCACACCAGCGACGACAGCCTCTACACAGGCACCGGCGCCTCCTCCTCCTCAGGCAGCAGCAGCGGCGGCGGCGGCACGCCCTCCTGGGTGTGGGCGGTGGTGGGCACGGTGGCGGGCCTGGCGGCGCTCGCGGCCGGCGCCGCCGCCTTCTTCTGGCGCCGCCGCAGGCAGCAGCAGGGGCAGGCGCTGGGGCTGAAGCCCGAGGACTGCATGGAGAGCGGCAGCGCCAAGGGCAGCGACGATCGCAAGGGACTCGTCGTGTCGCGCGGCGGCAGCCTGCAGCCTGATCAGAGCGGCAGCGTGCACGGCGGGGCGGGCAGCGGCGGCCTCAACGGCCAGGCCCACGGCAGCGCCGAGCTGCACACCACCTTCATGCGCACACGCTTCGGCGTCATCGATGACCTGCAGCTGGGCGAAGTGCTGGGCAGGGGCGCCTATGGCCGGGTGGGTGCGGCAGCCTGGCGCGAGGCGGCCGATGGCGCTGCCCGGTGCGCCCTGCATGTGGCGGCCCTGCATGTGGCCGCTCCTCACGCCGGGCACCCGCTGCTGCACGCCTCACCAGCCTGTCGCCCACCAGCCTGCCGCCGCCCCTGCCGCTGCCTGCCAGGTGTACAAGGGGCGCTGGAAGGGCGTGATTGTGGCGGTCAAGGTGATTGAGCACCGAGTGCAGCCCGGCCAGGTGGTGGACCCGAGCCGAGAGCCGCTGCTCTGCATGTCTGTCAGCCACCCAAACGCAGTCACGTGCCACCAGATGTCCATCCTGCGCGTGTCGGGCGGCGGCCGCGGCGAGCAGGCGGGACTGCACCCCGCCGGCTCGGGCGGCCTGGACGCCAGCGGCGGCGGCGGCAGCGGCATGCCGCGCAGGCCCAGCATCGGCGGAAGGCTGGTGGCCTCGCCCGGCGGCTCAAACATGGTGGAGGTCGTGTCGCCGCACGACGTGCTGCTTCCCGGGTGAGGCTGCGGCAGCTGGAGCTGCTGGGCGCACCCGCCGATGCACCGGGTCATATGGGAGCGTGTGCGGGCCACGCGTCTGCCTGCATTGCGCGCCTTGCGCGTCTGCTTGCGTCCCCTCGGAAATGGCAATGGACACACACCCGGCGCACACCCCCTCGCCGTGTCCTGCCCCTCCCTGCAGGCTGTACGAGAACTGGATAGTGATGGAGTACTGCGACAAGGGCAGCCTGTCGGACCATCTGTCGGCGGGGCGGCTGCCGCCCATCGCCACCGCGCTGCGCCAGCGCGAGGTGCACGTCGTGCTGTGCCTGCTGGACATCGCCCTGGGCCTCAACTACCTGCACAGCGCCGGCATCGTGCACGGCGACCTCAAGCCCGCCAACGTGCTGCTCAAGGCGGCGCGCAATGACCGCCGCGGCTTTGTGTGCAAGCTGGGCGACTTTGGGCTGAGCCGCATGCTGGGGCAGGGGCAGAGCCACGTGGACACGACCAGCTACGGCACCCCCTCTTACGCCGCGCCCGAGCTGCTCAAGGAGGGCAGGCTGACCAAGGCCGCAGACATCTATTCCCTGGGGATCATGGGTGAGGCGGCCCCGCCACCCGGGCGTCCTGCTGGCCCGCCTGCCCACATGCTCCGCGCCTCGCGCTTGCTCACGCCGACCTGTCGGCCTGCCCCGTGCTGGCCCCCCATCCGACCGCTTGTCCCTGCCTGGCCCTGCCCTGCCGCCCTGCAGTCTGGGAGATGGTGGCGGGCGAGCCCCACGGCGGCGACTTGACGACCATGCAAATCATTCTGCAGGCATGTTGGTGGTGCGGTTGCGGTCCCAACCACTGAACCGGGCTTGCACAACGTAGGGGACGCCGACCCACCTCAACCCCCTTGCTTGCCTGGAAACCGGTGCAGGTCTCGCAGAACAAGTACCGCCCGCAGGTGCCCGCCCACTGCTCGCCTGTGCTGGGCGAGCTCATGCAGAGCTGCTGGAGCGAGGACCCTGCAGACAGGTGGGCGGGCAGGCGGGCAGCGGGGAGCCGTGCCGGTGTGGGTGTGGGGCGGGGCAGCAACAAAGAACACAGCAGCGCCTGGAGTGCTTCCACAGCTGCCGGCGAGCGTCCTTTTGTGCCTGCGACCAGTGCAGCCATCCAGCCCTGCTGCTGCCTGCAGGCCCACGGCCTCTGCTCTGGTGGACAAGCTGAGGGGCCTCGTCACGCCGCTGCTGCGTGCCAGCGCCACGGTGCCGGTGCTGGCGGCTAGCGCGGCCCAGGCGCCTGCCGACCCCTCGGTGACCTCTTGAAAAAAAGGTATCCCGGTACTTTCCCAATTCCTCCCTCTCCTACGAATCCCCTTGTTACGAGTTGCTTGCCTATATGCGTTCAAGAATCCAACAAACCCCAAGCGCTGCCATTATTCACCAGACTCCCCTTTCTTGCCACATGCCTTCTCTCCATCACATGCACACCCCTGCCCTACCGTGTGCGTGCCGTATCGTTTCTTCACCACAGCTGGCCGTCCTGGCCACCTGCCGATTCGTTGCTTTCTGCTTTGTATCCCTCTCACAAACACATGCCCGCTGCTCGAGCAGCGCATTCCTGCCATGCAACCGAATTCCCTTTACATCGTCAAGGCTGTTCAATCAGAGAAGACACGCTTGCTGCGTCACAGGTGCTGCACCTGCACCTGCACCTGCAGGCGGCGGCCGGGTGCATGTGTGACGCTGTACCGCCCACTGCGTACCGCCTGCCTGCCGCGGATGGCAGCCCTGCCTCACTTCTTGGACAGAAACATCTGGCGGAACTCGTCGTTGCTCTTGGGGGCCTCGCCGCCGGCTGCTGCCACCGGGGCGCCGCCCCCAGGCTGCGCCTTGCCCTGCTGCAGAGCGGCGGCACGGGGCACAAAGCCCCGCAGCGGCGCTCCGGGGCGCCCAGCTGCCGACGGCGACGGCTGGTCGGAGCCCAGGTCAATCATGCTGCGGTGCCTGGGGCCGTCCCTGCCGCCGCCCCGCCCGCCATCCCTGCCACCACGCCCGCGGCCGCCATCCCTGCCCCCACGGCCGCCATCCCTGCCGTCGCGGCCCCGCCCGCCATCCCTGCCGCCACCGCCCCGCCCGCCGTCCCTGCCGCCGCCACGCCCAGCACTTTGCTGCGCCTGCTGCGCCTGCTGCTGCGGGGGGTGCTGCTGGCCGCCTCCCGCGGCCGCGGGCGGCTTGGAGGGTGCTACAAAGATGTGCTTGCCGCGGAACTCGGCCCGGTCCAGCCGGCACGCCGCCTCCAGGCCCTCGTGGCCGGCAAAGTGGATGTAGGCAAAGCCCTGCGGGGGAGAGGGGTCATGGGGCGGGTCCAGGACCAGGACACAGTGGGCACGTGTGGAATTCCAGGCAGGCAGGCAGGCAGGCAGGGTGGAGTGGCAAGCAGGCGACAGGCGCTGGCGGCAGCGCCGGCAATGCGCGCCGCACCTTGGGCCGCCCCGTCAGCTTCTCCCTGCCCAGCTCCACGCCTGTGATGGCGCCGCAGCCGCCAAACAGCTGCCTCAGGGCCGCCTCATCCACACCGTCCGCCAGGTGCTTGACAAAGGCGGTGTTGCTGTCGGTGCGGCGCTGCTGGCGCCAGCCCAGCCCCGCCGGCTTGTGCTGCTGCTGCTGCTGGTGAGGGTGCTGCTGCTGACGCTCCCCGCCTGGCTGCGGCTCCTCCTGTGGCACCGCTGCCGCCGCCTGCCCCGCCTCTTGCTGCTGCTGGCTGGCGGCGGCTGGCGCAGCGGGCTGCTCGGCAGCGGCGCTTGGCGGGGCGGCTGCGGGGGCTGAGCTGGCGCCTGCAGCCGCAGCGGCGGTCTTGGCCTTCTTCGCCGGTGGCGGCGGCATCTCTCCCGCCCCGGCCGCCGCCGCGCCCGCGGCCTTGCTTGCTGCCGCCCCGGCCGCCGCCTGCTGCTTGCGCTTGGCGTAGTTTGGGTCTGCCTGCTGCCGCATCGCCCGCACCTCCTCCCTGCTCAGCTTGGGAGCGTTGTCAGCCGCGGCGCGAGCGGCGGCGTGCTGCTGGGGGTCGGCGGCGGCCGCAGCAGCAGCTTGGAGATCTTGGAGGATGGGCTCCACCTTGAGGCAGGCAGCCAGGTGGTCATCCGCACTGCAGCGCCGAGAAGGGGGAGCGGGATGATCAGCACGAGTGGGGTGTGGGCAAATGTGTACAGGGCGAGATTGGTGGCTGGCTTTGGGCATTAGGCTGGCATGGAGCGGCAAAAACAGGCGACATCAAGGGGGGCATTGGTGTATGGTGGTGGAGCGAAGGTGAACTTGAGTGTTTGCTGCCACACCAGGCGGCCAGGGAAGCAAGCAGCGTGGTGGCGGCATGCCCACCTGCCCTCCTCCCGCTCAAAGCGAAGCCAGGCATCGCACAGCAGCGCCTGCCCGCCCTCCTCCAGTCGACGGCTGCAAAGCGCAGCAGCAACAACGTGGATGGGGTGAGCAGGGCAGAGGAAGCGCCGCCGTTGTGCAGCGGCCCAGCAAAGCAGGCGGGCAGGCCAGCAGGTGAGGCGCCTGTCCGGCAGCGGTCTCACCCACCCCACCTGTAGCATCGCTTGTAGAGCGTGCGCGCCTCCCGAGTGTGCCCCCGCCGCCGCTCAAAGTCGATGAAGGCGGCCCAGGTGTCGGCGTACCGCCCCGCCACGCCCTTGAGCGCCGCCTCCCATACGCCCCGCGCCGCCGCCAGGTCTCCGCCTACCCCTGCCTCGCAGTCCGCCCAGTAGCTAGTCAGCCTGCAGCCGCACCCCAGGGGAACCACGGCACGGACGGCAGTGAGCGGGAGTGGGGAGCAGTAGCGGGCGGGCATACAAGGCACGCTAATTGCTCCTTTGTTGCCGCCCTGTGCCCTCTGCCCCCCCCACCCCCTCAC